TGGTGCTGCACATAGCCGCTCAGCGTGACTACGAGCTTCACTCCCTTGAATTCAGCACTCCTTTCTTGCAGGGTAGCTTTCATGAGGAGATCTGGTTGCGCCGTCCACCTGGCTTCACTGGGACTTTTCCTCCTGGCACCCAGTGGAGCCTCCGACGGCCAATCTACGGTCTCCGCCAGGCACCGCGTGAGTGGCACGACACACTGAGGACTACGCTTGCGGCTCTTGGGTTTGCTCCCTCTACTGCCGACCCGTCGCTGTTTCTACGCACCGACACCTCTTTGCCACCGTTCTACATCCTCGTGTACATCGACGACTTGGTCTTGGCCACTGCTGACACTACTGGACTCGCCCACGTGAAGTCCGAGCTGCAGAAGAGACACACGTGCACAGACCTGGGTGAACTGCGCAGCTACCTCGGCTTGCAGATCACCCGGGACAGAGCACGCCGCACCATTACCCTGACTCAGTCACACATGGAGCTGCAGGTCCTTCAACGCTTCGGCTTCACGTTCTCCTCGCCTCAGGCCACTCCTCTGTCTACTCGCCACTCGCTCTCAGCTCTGCCTTCGGATGAGTCCGTAGAGTCGAGTGGCCCGTACCCAGAGCTTGTTGGCTGCCTCATGTACGTGATGACCTGCACACGACCTGACCTTGCATACCCTCTTAGCATTCTTGCACGCTATGTTGCTCCTGGGAGACACAGACCGGAGCACATGGCTGCAGCGAAGAGGGTGTTGCGCTACTTGTGCAGTACGTCGGGCATGGGGCTAGTGCTTGGAGGGCAGAGTCCAGTGGTCCTTACTGGACACGTAGACGCTTCGTTGGCTGACGACCAGGCTACACGGCGGTCGTCACAGGGTTACACCTTCAGCCTTGGTTCCGACTCTGTTTCGTGGCGGGCTACTCGCTCGTCTTCCGTTCTCGGCTCCAGTTGTGAGGCTGAGATCTACGCCGGAGCCATGGCTACTCAGGAGCTTCGCTAGCTCACCTATCTGCTGACTGACCTCAGAGAGCCGCCTCGTTCTCCTCCAGTGCTGTACGTAGACAACAAGGCCATGCTGGCCTTGTGTCGAGAGCAGCGCCTGGAGCACAGGACGAAGCACATTGCTCTCCGCTACTTTCTTGCTCGTGAGCTGCAGCAGCGTGGTCAGTTGCGACTTGCGTACGTGGCCTCTGAGGCCAACACTGCTGATATCTTCACTAAGGCATTTGCGCCTTGTGATCATCAGCCCTTTTGTACTCTACTTGGTCTTGTGCATGTCTTGCCTCACTTGCTCACTTCTTGACCTTGCTTGTACTGTCACATATATATACTTCTGCTCTTGCTTGTTTAGCGTTTTATATATATATATGTGCTCCTGCATGTGAACTGGCCTTCTGGCCTTGAACTTGTGCTCGGAATGTGTGGTGACTTTGTGATCCACCCTGAGCTTTGCTTTGCTTTGCTTGACTGGTCTTGTGACCCCTTGTTCTACCCCACTTTGCCTATGGGGTTGTGTCAAATTATAATGTTGTGTAGGTTGTAGTGGGGTAGCCTATATGGGGTACACATCTCTAGAGTTGCATATTTGTACCACTTTCATTCCTTAGTGCATCCATTCTCGTTTCCTCTCATTTGCTGCCCGTCGCGCGCCCCAGGCGCGCGTCGGTTTTTCTTCCCGTCGCGCACCCCGGGCGCGCGTCGATTTTCTGCCCGTCGCGCTCCACTGGCGTGCGTCAATTTCATGCCCGTCGTGCGCCCGAAGCGTGCGACGGTTTCCTGCCCGTCGCGCGCGTCGGTTTCTGCCCGTCGCGCACCTTGGACGCGCAACGGTTTCTGCCCGCCCGCGCGCCCTGCTGTCGCCCGCGCAGCTCCTACCCCCCACCCCCCCTTCTCCTCCATCTCCCTGCTACGTATGCAGCAGTTGGGAGGAGGGTTTGGGGGTGGCGGGTGTGAGTAACCAGCTGCCGCCCCTCCTCCTCTCTCTCTCACTGTCGCATATGCCGCTATGGGGGAGGGTGTGGGGGAGACGAGGTAGTGACGGTAGGGATGCCGCGCCTGTTGGTGTGGGAGGGGGTTTGGAGAAATGGGGGGAGTTTGAAGGGGGGTGGCCGCCGTGAAGCCAGCTGCTCCAGTCGCCCATGAGCCCGTTGCTCCAATCGCCCGTGAGTCAGTTGCTCCAGCCGCTCGTTATTATTGGGCAATTAGCCAGTTACTCCAGTTGCCCGTGTGCCAGTTGCTCCAATTGCCCGTGTGCCAGCAGCTTCAGCCGCCGCCAACCACCTCCTCTCTTCTCTTGGTCCCTCTCCTACTTCCGCTGCGCCTGGTGTTCCCCCTATGGGGATGTCACTTCACAAGCTCATGTTGTAGGCAGTTAAGGGGGTGTGTTGAATAAATATTATATATATGTGTTTATATTAATTGCCTTAGCATGTAGTTTAGTGTAGACGCATTGGTGGTGCACCTCATTCTCTGGTCCCTTGCACTATATCTTGTATCTTTGCTCATTAGTGAATCCCCCTTCCGCTTCTCGCTACTCTCATGCCTGGTTCACCCTAGGCTCCTAAGCCTACTAATTTAACCTAGAATTTTGATACGACTGGTGCTAGTATTGAGTGTCGCAATCTCAGGTTTGAGCTGGTGATCACGGGTTTGTGAACGGCGCTCATCATGCTCTAACCCCAGATCTCCTACCGCAACGGTTCTTACCATGTCCTGTTTCACAGGTTCACTACATCAAATGCCCACGTCATTTATTCTGGACGAATCCGCATCATCAAGTTGCACGGAGCACCACCCAAAGTGGGCGGATGAGATTCTTGTGTATCTAATGTACTTCCCCAAGATATTTCTCCTTATCCCAATTTCACCACTGCCAAGGCTGGTCAGCAAAAGCACTACAGTTTCAGAGTACTTGTATTACTAGGATCAGGAACTGTGACTCAAATTCGTGCCATCATGGCGGCGACTCGTGCTGTTGGGACACACATGACAATGGGGCATCAATACAACCCGATGGCACTTTGTGGGAGGTGGAACTTATGGGTAAATAAGTGGCTCTTTTCATAAAATTGTTTGCTGACCCTGGGTGGCATGCCTGTGTGAGCATCGTGGAAGAGCTACCAGTACATTTCACTCGTGCCTAGCACAATTATTTGCACTCTACTGCAGTTCTGTTAGTTAGCTCCATTGCACTCGTAACACGAACTCAATAGGTAAGGTGGTATTCTCTTAGCATGGTATAAACTGCTACTACTCGTTATAAGCACCTCCTCCACGTCAGCCCTCGCGCGTTCAAATTGATGCTGGTTATGACGTCGTCCGCGGGCATTCCTGCGCGCTCCTATGTTCTCTCCCCCTCATCCACTTCCCCCTTCTCGCCCATCACGATTCACTCACAAGCAAACCTTGCCTGCCGCCTCCGCTTCCCGCCATAATTTCCCCTCGCGTGCTTCATGCCGCCGTTCACTCACTCACACATTCCCCTCCGCGCGCGGGGAGAGAAGGCAGCGCATGCCTTTTATTTTCCCGCGCGGAGGGTGGGTGGTGGGGGAAAGGGGGTGGAGAAACGGAGGTTATGGGGAAGGGGGATGTTCTCCTCCCCTCCAGCTCGTGGCGACCTCCTCGCCTCACTTGCTCGCTTCCTTCGTCAGTTCCTCAAGCAAAGTTTATTGACACCAGCTCGTGCCGCTCTGAACCGCACAGCACATTACTGCATGCTAGTTGGTGTGTGAAATGAGGGGATGTGCGTGGATGGGTGGGTGAAGCATGAGATGAAGTGAGAGCTGAACAGCAAACGTGCCGTGTCAGGCAACACAAATCAGCAGGAAGTGGTTTGATAGGCTTGGAGGCGAGTCGAGAGACGAAACTCGCGATTTGGAACTCAAACGGTGGCGGTTGATAATTGCGGAGCGAGGTGAGAGAGAGCCAGAGGCGAGAGAGCGAAAGCAAGAGGGAGTTACGTGCGGGATGCAGGTACTCGCCACGCCGCGCGTCCCACATTCGCGTCGCAGCCCGCACTGCCGATCGTGGAGTGTCGTGCGCTTGCGCGCTTGCTGATTGTTCAGATTCGCGGAATCGCCAGAAACTACCGAAAGCGCACTGGAAGTGGCCGCGAACCAGTGCGAGCTGGTAACTTCTTGTCTCCACTTCGCCATTCGCCATTTCCTCACTTCGCCAGTCGCGAATCTCGCGTGATCCGTGGCTCCGTCCTCTCATCTCGGTCGTCGTCGTCGTCTTCACTGCCGCTGGTAGCGTGAATCCCGCTCGTTCACGCCACGCCTCTCGCCGCTGCCGTTCGAATCTGCTCCGAGAAGCCTTCGTGATATGCTGTTTCACTCAGGCCCTGTGAGAAAATTCGCTCACGAGGCAAGCAGTCCGCAGGAGGAGGAATCGCCGACGAGCGAGATTTGCGACGTGTCGCAAGCAGACGAGACCGCGTCAGTGAAGCTGCTCGATCGCTCAGCGGGGAACCTTCATCCGCACCTTACTCTCTTCCCCTCTCTCTCACACGCGCACACACACTTTCTCTCACTCGCTTCTACCCTCTCACTTTCTCACACTCACTCCTGCTCGTACGCGCACTCATTGCCTCACGCCCTCCCTTGTACTTCTTCACACCGCTCTCCATCTCTCCCCACCGCTCGATGCAACTCCACACTGCCTCATGGCCGTGGATCCTCCCGCCACGTGTCCGCATCTCCTTGCTTTCAAGCGCCGCGCGCCGTCCGCCGCCAGCCCGTATCTCCTCGTGCAGCAGTGCGTCCGACCCGGGCCCAATCGCCGCCCCGTCTTCTCCGTGACTCGCGGAACCGTTCCGTGCTGCTCCATCTGCCGCCGCACCGACGCGCGTCTTTACGTGTGCCTCACCTGCGGCGCCGTCCTTTGCCGGCCAGCCGCCGCCGCCGCCACTGCCGAAGCGCCGCGCGGAGGCAGCGCTGCCGGCCGGCAGGGCGATGCCGCCGTCTCCGCCGCCGTCGCGCCTCGCACGCGATCCGCGCCAGGTGCTGCGGGAGCTATGCCCGTAAGCCTCGCGTCGACGGGCGGACAGGATTGCGGGGTAGGCGGAGGGTTCGCGGTCGGGTTACGCGGCGCGCACTCCAGCGCTCGCGCCAACGCGGGGGAGATTAAGGACGATCAGGAGAGCGGAATCGCGGACGGGGGGTGCAACGAGACGGCCAGATCTAGCGAGAGCAGCGGCGACGGCGGGGGCGGCGGTGGCGGCGGAAGCAGCGGGGGGGACGATGATGCGGGCGGACACGTGCTGAAGCACGCGAGAGAAGCCCCGCCGATGGCCGACGGGCGGAGATCCATTGGCGCGCGCGGAAGCAGCGGCGGGTGGGGCGGCGCGGGCGCGCGCGCGTCGTCGTCCCCCGGCGGGCCAGGGGGAAGCGGAAACATCGGCGGGAGTTCAAGGCGCGGGGGCTCTGGCGCAGGGGGGGCAGGCGGAGGGGGAGGCGGAGGGGGAGGCACGGGGCCGGGAGCGGAGTGGGGGGGAGCGAGTCACTGTATATTTGTGGAGCTGGATCGAGTGGTGCTATACTGTGCTGCATGCGGGGAGTATGTGGTAGATGGTGACTTTAACACATGTGTGATTAATGCGGTGGGGGGTATGGGTGGCGTGGAAGGGCCAACTCTTGCTTGCCTCCCTGCTGCTGCAGCTCCAGGAGAAGCAGCAGAAACCACAGGAGCAGCGGCAGCAGCAAGAGCAAGCGAAGTGGGAGCGGGGGAGGGGAGGGGAGGAGGCGCTATTGTGCAGGTTGCGTGGACAGCACCTGAGGAGGGGATGATGGGGAAGAAGAAGGGAGCGCGCAAGGAGGGAGTGATAAAAGGGGGCATACTGAAAGAAGGGGTATTGACAATGGCTGCAATGCCATCAATGGGCTTGGGGGGAAGAACCACCCGGTTGCTACTTCCAGCTGGGCCTCAGGGCTCAGGTGAAGACCTGTGTGGGTATTCACCTGAGAATTCACCTGAGATTGACGCGGAGTCGGATGGGAGAGCAGTGCAGTTGCAGCGGGCGGATGGCACGGCTGTGAGTGTGAGTGGGAGTGAGCGAGGCAGCAGTTTCGCCGGTAGTGACAGCGCTGGCATGACCAGTGCTGGTGCTGATGCTCATGCTCATGCTGATGATGATGCTGATGTTGATGCTACTGCTGGTGCGGGTGGTGACTTTCCTCCTGCTCCTGAGAATAATAACCCAGGGGGTGGGGGCTTCGGTGCGGCTGTGGTTCGGATGGAGGAGGGCAGGGGCGAGGGGGCGGAGGGGGATGGGGATGAGGTGAGGGAAGAGAGGGAGGAAGAAGGGCAGGAGGGGGGAGAGGAGGGGGAGGAGGAGGAGGGTAAGGAGCAAGCGGAGGAGGAATTGGAGGAGGATGAGGAGGGGTTGCAGGGTGATGCTGAGTGGAATGGTGGTGATAGGGGTGCCGTAGGAGGAGGAGGAGGAGGAGGAGGAGGAGGAGGAGGAGGAGGAGGAGAAGGAGGAGGAGGAGGGGTAAGTGGAAGGGAGGCTCTGCTGGGGGAGGGGAAGAGCAAGAAAGTGAGAGAAAGGGGAGGTGATGGGAAGAAAAGGGGACGGGGCAGTGGGTGGACCGGAGGAGGGGCAGGAGCACAGTCATTGACAGCAGCAGCAGCAGCAGCAGCAAATACAGCAACAGCAGCAGAAGCAACAGCAGCAGCAGCAGCAGCAGCAGCAGCAGCAGCAGCAGCAGCAGCAGCAGCAGATACAGCAACAGCAGCAGCACCAACAGGTGCAGCAGCAACATCAGCAAGCCCTTGTGCCGCATGGGAAGGGAAGGTGGGTACAGGTGTGAATCAGGAGGCGAGGGTAGGGAAAGGCAAGAAGGAGCAGAAAGAGAGGGCGGAGAAGGGGAAGCAGCAGCAGCAGCAGCAGGCGCAGCAGAATGTGCGGCCACCTTCACCCAGAATCACTCGCGCTGCTGCCAGGCAGTTGCAGCAAGAGCAGCAGCAGCAGCAGCAGCAGGGCGCAGTGGAAGAGAAGAGGGAGCAGCAGCAGCAGGGGAAGGAATCCCTGGGGGGGCAGTGGTTGGGAGGGGAAGTGGGTGGGGAGATAGGGGAGGCGTGGGAAGTGGAGGGACAAGACGAGGAGACTGGGGTGCAGGGACGAGAAGGGAGAGCGGTCAAGGGAAGTAGAGGAGAAGCCAGTAGTAAGGGGAAGGGGAGGAGGAAGGAGCGAGTGAGGGAGAGAGTGAGGGAGAAGGGACGGTTGGATGCAGCAGAGGTAGATGTAGGTGCAGTGAGGGGGGAAGGTGAGGATGATGCGATAACAGGAGCCAGAATGACAGGTGGTTTCCAGGAAGGTGTGGCTGCTGTGCCTCCTCTTCCTCCTCTTCTTGCCGCCGCTGTGAAGAGGCCGAGGTATGTGGTAACCAGGGAGGGGGGCCACGTGGGACTCGAGGGCGCGAGAGAGAGAGTGAGGGCGGGGGAAGAGACAGTGTCCACATTAGAGGACGAATTTGTGGGTTTCAGTGTGCCCAGTAGTATTAGGGCAGCAGGAGAAGGGATACGAGTGGGAGTGGGACAGGAGGTGGTGTATGGGAGAGGAGGGAAACGAGGAGGAGGAGGGGGGTCAGGTGTGGAGGAGGGTGGTGTGGTGGGTAGGAGTGTGAGCACTCGTGGGCGGAGGAGCGGAGCTGCTGTGGTGACCCTGGCAGATGCGGGTGCTGCAGCGACAGCAACTGATGCAGCAGCAGTGACGGCAGGAGGAGCAGGAGCAGGAGCAGCAGCAGGAGCAGGAGCAGGAGCAGCAAGAGCAGCAGCAGGTGCAGGAAGGGGAAGGGGATGGAACTTCAAGAGGGCTGTTATAGCGCAGTTACGTGGGGAAGCTGATGGCCTGGGGAAATTGGGTGGTGTGAGTAGGGGAAGGGATACAGAGGACCAAGCGGAAGTGGAGGCGGAAGAGGAGGATGAGGAGGAAGAAGAAGAGGAAGCGGAAGAGGGAGAGAATTTTGACAAGAGGGGGGTGAGGTTCCAAGAAGCAGCAGGACGAGGGAGGAAGAGGAAGAGGGAGAAGGGGAAGAAGAAGAAGAAGAAGAAGAAGAAGAAGAAGAAGAAAGGGCAGAGGGATGACGGGGAAGGTACTGTGCAACAAAGACGCCGCTCTGTAGACGTTAGTGGATTGCACAGTAAAGGGTACAGTAGAGAAAATGGGAATATTAAAGGCCACAGCGAAGGGCACAGCAGAGGACATGTAAATGGTCGTTCCCTTGCTCCGGATGCTTCTGCTCCTCTTTCCTTTCCTCCTTCTCTTCCTCTTTCTCGTGATGGTTTGGGTGTAAAGCAGCAGGGAGTGGTGGGGGGCGGAGGGGGAGGGGAGGAGGGGCAAGAAGGCCTGGCGGAGGAAACGTTACAGAAGGGGATGAGCGAGGCAGGGGCGGCAGGGAGGGAGGTGAGGAGGAGACAGAGGAGAGTAGTGGTGAGCGGGCAGCAGGAAGGGGAGGTAGGTGCATGGGTGGAGGGGTGTGCAGGTGGGGCCCGTAAGGGGAGGGTGAGTGAGGGGAGGGTGAGTGAGGGGAGGGTGAGTGAGGGAATGGTGAGTGAGGGGATGTATTTTAGTGGCAGCAATGGTGCTGTAGCGGCGAGAGGAGGGGGTGCAAGAAGGATGAGCAAGGGAAGGCGAGCAGCAGGGGAACGAGACGTGAAAGGAGGTGTGGAGGAGAGCGATGCAAGGGAAGGTGTAGAGGGAGGTGTGGAGGGGGAGAGTGCGAAAATCCCCAAGGGGGAAAGTGAGGGAGTGGTGTGGGGCGAGAGTGGGGAAGGGTATGTGGGTGCGAGTGTGGGTGTGGCAGAGAGAGGCGTTGTAGAAACACGGGAGGTGCACGGGAGGAGAGAGGGGAGGGGCAAGGGCAAGGGAAGCAGGCGGAGGAGTGAGAATGGGAGGGCGAGCAGGGAGGGGCGGGAGGGACAGGAAGGGCGGGAGGGGCGGGAAGGGCGGGGTCTTAGCACAGGGGAGTTAGAGGTTGGGGGAGGGAGGGTGGGCGGGAGTGTTCTTGCCACGCCTCTAAGATTGGGAAGTGAAGAGGATAAGGCTGCGGTTATTGCAGCGGTGGTGGCGGGGGGAGTGGAAGAGGAGGTGAAAGGGGAAGTGGAAAGGGGTAGGGGAGGGATAAGAGAGGGAGGAAGGGGAGATGTTGGGGAGGCGTATTTTGAGCGTCCTAAGAAGGTGCGTATAATACGAGGGGAGCTGAATAGGGTGGTTGGGAGGGGAGGGGGCGAGAGTGAGGTTGGGGTTTCTGTGGCAAGGTGTGCAGAGGAGGGGGCTGTAGGAGGAACGGAGAGACGGGAGGAGGGAGAGTGGGGAGGCGGAGTAGAGGGGTTGGAGGGAGAAGAGCGAGGAGAGGGAGGAGAGAGAGGGGAGGGAGGAGAAGGAGAGGGCATGGATGGGGAAGGACTGGAGGGAAGGACGGAGCAAGGGACAAAGAGAGGGGATGAGAAAAGTGTGGAGGACAGGGGGAAGGGAAGGGAGAGGAGTAAGGACAGGGCAGAGAAGACTGAGAAGGGAGAGAGGGAGGAGAAGGCAGAAAGAGAGGCATCAGATTGGCACGGAGGGGTAGCAGCCAGGGAGAAGCAGCCCTTGGCCGAGGCAGCAGCAGGGGGAGTAACAGGAGCAGGAACAGGAACAGGAACAGGAACAGCAGGAACAGCAGGAGCAGCAGCAGGAGGAGCAGGAGCGGGAAGAGGAGGGAGAGGGAGAGGCAGAGATGGGCTGCCGTGTGGGTTGAGGGGTCTGAACAACCTGGGCAACACGTGCTTCATGAACGCCATTCTGCAGGCCCTCGTGCACACCCCGCCCCTGCGCTCCCACTTCCTCTCCCACTTCCACTCGCACTCGCACAGCCACTCGCACGGGCAAAGCCAGGAGCAATCACTGGGCCAATCCCTGCCCAAGCCCCTTATCCACAGCCAACCCGAAGACAAATCACAAGCCCATGCTCATACCCATGATCATGATCATGCTCATGTGCATGCACATGAGCATGGCCAGGCCCAGGGGCACATGACTCCTCCCCTCTCCTGCAACCACAATCACAACCCCGACAATGACCCCCACCACAGGCCCAGCCGTGGCTCCCCGGATCCCCGCGGACTTGATGCACGCGCCCCTGTCGGCCAGCAGCAGTCGTTTCACAGCGACTCACATGGTGCCAATGCCACGCACACCACCAGCAACAACACCAGCAGTGCTGCTGCTGCTGCTGCTGTTGCTGCACCCTCGCACGCAGCACCCCGCCCGTCCCTCAACCCCATGGCGCCTCACACAATGCCCACGGCCCACATGTCCCATGCGGGCCTTAAAGTTGATACGGTTTGCATTTCCCCCACTGCCCAGGGTTTGTGGCGTGTGGGCGAACAGGGGGCGGGAGGGGCGGAAAGGCGACTGGGAGGGGGGAAATTGTGGGGAAAGGGAATGGGGGGAGGGCCAAAGGGGGAGGAGGAGAGAGGGGGAAGTGGAGAGGGTGGGTTTGATGGTGGGAATGGTGGAGAGGACGAGGAGAGGAAGGATGAGGAGGAGCTGGGGAGGGATGGGCAGGGGGATGGGCTTCGTGCAAGGGTGGAGGAGGGAGGGGGGATAGTGGGAGGGGAAGGAGAAAGAGTCGGGGGAGGAGAGGCAGGAGGAGGTGCGGTGGCAGCAGCAGAAGCACCGGCAGCAGCAACAGCAGCAGCAGCAGGGGGGGTAGCAGCAGCAGTAGGGCGAGTGCGAGTGGCACCGTATGTGAATCCGTGTTTGGAGTGCGAGTTGGAGGGTGTGTTTGCAGCCATGTTCAGTGGCGAGAGGAGGCCGTTCAGCCCCGGCCAGTTCCTCTATAGGTGCGTGGGGATGTGCGTGGGGGGTGCGTGGGGGGGTGCGTGAGGAGGTGCGTGGGATGCATGTGCGTGTGTGCATGTGTGTATGTGCACGATCGTATGTGCATGTGTGCGTCAACTCCACACAACCCCCGACCCGTCAATCTCTCCCCGTGTCAACCGTCCCCACCGCACCCCCTTGGCTTCCCCATCCCATGGCCAGCTGGTACCTACCTGACCTAACCTCATTTTCCTCTTCAGCTGCTGGCGTGTCACAGACAGCGTTGCCAGCTAGCTAGCTACCAGCAGCAGCAGACTACACCCCCTTCATGCGTTCTTAACCATTCCCCCCTCCTCCCCCCTCCATCCCTCGCTTCCCCATTCAGCTGGTGGCGAGTGACAGACAGCTTCGCGAGCTACCAGCAGCAAAACGGCTCATGAGTTTTTCATCGCAACCCTCAACGCTCGCTCTCCATGTGTCCCTCTCTTTGGCTTCCCCCTTCCCTTTCTCACTTCCCCATCTGCAGCTGGTGGCGTGTCACGGACAGCTTTGCGAGCTACCAGCAGCAGGACGCGCACGAGTTCTTCATCGCAACCCTCAACGCTCTCCATGCTGCCTCCGGCCTCGCCTCGCCCCGCCGCAAACCCGCCCCTCCTGTTGCTGCTGGTGCTGCTGGTGCTTCTGCTGCGTGGTAAGTAGAATGAGTGCGGGAGTGACTGTTCTGCTGCTACGTGTTGCTCCCTTCCATCTCCTGCTTGCATGCTTTTAATGAACCACCCTGCCTTCTCATCTCCCTCCCTCCACCCCTTCTCCCGCCCGCCCGCCTGCTTCCCCACCCACCCTTTTTTCCGCCCCTTCCCAGCCCGCCATCTGTCACCGAGTGCCCCTGTATCGTGCACGAGGTGTTTCCTCATCTACCTCTCCCTCTTCTCCCTGCCTCCCCCTTCCCCCACCCTCCTCCCCCTCCTGTGCAGCCCGCCATCAGTCACCGAGTGCCCCTGTATCGTGCACGAGGTGTTTTCTGGGCTGTTGCGATCAGATGTGACCTGTACGGCCTGTGGTTGCACCTCCACCACATACGACCCGTGTGTGGATATCTCTCTGGATCTAAGCCCTCACTTGCTCGCAGCAGAGTTGCACGAGGAGCAGCAGCAGCGGCAGCAGCAGCAGCAGCAGCGCCGGGAGTTGATGCTGCTGCGGCGGCAGCAGCAGCTGGAACAGGGGGTGGGAGGGGGGGGTGGGGGAGGGGAAGAAGAGGCGGAAGCGGCAGCATAAGCAGAGGTACCAGCGAAAGAGGAAACGGGGACGGACTAGGAATGTTACGGGTGATAAAGATGCTGCTGTTGATGCTGCTGCTGCTGCTGCTGCTGATGATGATGATGATGATGATGATGATGCAACTGCTGCTGCTACTGCTGCAGACGGAGTGAAAGAGGTACCCCCATCGCCATCACCGCCATCATCATTACCACCAGCATCGCCATCAGCACCGGTGCTGTCACCATCCCCACCGATCGCCCTTTCGTCATCCACCCCAACACCTACTGTAACAGCAACACCCACACCCACCTCCACGCCAACCATCACTCCTTCCCCAACTGAAGCCGGCACCCCTGTTGGCTTCTTTGATGCTGATGCTGATGCTGCCACTGCTGCTGCTGGTGATATCATTGGTGATGGTGCTGCTGCTGCTGCTGCATTGGGAGAGGGAGGGCTGGGAGGCAGTGGCAGTGCGGAGGGGAGTGGCAGCGGTGGCAGCAGAAGCAGCAGCAACAGCAGCAGCAGGGAGGGCGGACGACAAGCAGGACTGGAAGGGGGAGAGGCAAAGGAGGTGAGAAGAACAGGGGGTGACGGAGGGGATGGGGAGGAAGGAGACGAAGGAGAGGAAGGAGAGGAAGGGGAGGAAGGGGAGGATGGAGAGGAAGGAAATGCAAGAGAGGTGTTGCTGGGAGATGTGGTGGGGGAAGGAGTGGCCCTGGGGGAGGAAGAGGAGATGGAAGCGAATGGAGTGGCAGTGGCTGAAGCAACTGCAGGGGCAGAAGGTGAAGATAACGTTGCAGTGCAGACTGATATGGGGTCAGCCATGCGAGGGCAAGAAGGGGGTGGGATGCACTGCTGTGCTCTCCTGCATGACCCTGCTGCTGCTGCACCTGAGGTTGCTGGGCTTGACAGCAGAGAAGCAGAGGGTGTGGGAGCAGAGGCTGTGGCAGCAGATGGAGCAGCAGTAGCGGGTGTGGCGAGGCGGGAGAATTTGGCAGGAGCAGCTGAACGGCGAGCAGAAGGGGAAGGAGCACCTGGGCCACGGAAAGCGTCAGGCACTGCTGCGCTACCACCATTAGCGCCTCCAGCAGCAGCAGCAGCAGCAGCAGGAAGAGCAGCAACAGGAGCAGGAGCAGCGGGAGCAGCAGCAGCAGGGGGAGCAGCAGCAAAGGAGGAGGGAGCGGTGGCGACGTTGATAGCATGTTTGGATCGGTTCACACACCCGGAGACGCTTGGAGTCAATGAGAAGTTCTTCTGTGAGGCCTGCCAGGTGAGCCCACGCACGTGGGGCAAGGCAAGGTGATGCATGGCAAGGTGATGCATGGCAAGGTGATGCATGGCAAGGTGATGACAGGTGTAAGATGTTCCTGCACATCAAACCACTCTTCACATACATGTCTCTAAAGTCTTCACATGGATCCGATTCTTCCCCCCCCCTACTCACCTCCGGCCCCTCCCCTCCCCTCCTTCCCAACCCCCTCCGCGCCTTCACCCGTCCCCATCAGATTGGTGAAACAGATGTCTCTCGTGCACCTGCCTCTCGTGCCCTGCCTGCTTATCAAGCCACCCTTCACATAGCTCAAATCCACTCTCACCCTACTCACCCCCGGCCCCTCCCTTCTCCTCTCCCTTCCCCCGTCCCCATCAGATACGGCAGGAGTCAGTGAAGTAGATGTCTCTCGCCCGCCTGCCCCTCGTGCTGTGTCTGCACATCAAGCCACTCTTTATTCTGCACAAATTCTCATTTCACCCCCCCTTCTCCCTCCCTGCACTTACCAGATACGGCAGGAGTCAGTGAAGCAGATGTCGCTGGCGCGCCTGCCCCTCGTGCTGTGTCTGCACATCAAGCGCTTTGAGCACTCGCTCTCGCGCAACGCCTCGCGCAAGATCACGCGCTTCCTGCACTTCCCCCTCGCGCTCGACATGTCCCCCTACCTCTCCTCCAGCATCACCCGCAACCGTAACCGTAACCGCGACCGCGACCGCACTGCCTCCCTGCACCCTACGCCCTCCCCTCCGCCCATTTCCCCTGCTGTCTCCTCTCCTCTGGTCCTCTCCCCCCCGGCAACTTCTCCGCTCGTCTCTCCTCTGCTCGCCACTCCTCCTGTTGCCTCACCTCCTTTCGCCTCTCCTCCTCCACCACCACTCCCACCAGCACCCCCTCCCAATGCTTCGTGCAAGCTGGCCAGTCCCTCTGAATTCACTTCTGAACCTCCTCCCGAACCTGCTTCCGCACCTGTTTCCGGGCCTGTTCCTGAACCTACTTCCGAAGCTGTTGTCAAACCTGCTCCCGGGGACTTGGAGAAAGGCGGTAGCAGCAGCAACACAAGCAACAGCAGGGAGGAGGCGCCTGGTGAGGCAGACTCAAATGCTGCTGCACACGCTGGTGCTGCTGCTGCTGCTGAGGATGATGATGCTGAAGAAGATGATTTTGATGATCACCCAAAGATAGCAACACCCCCAACTCATGGTGTTTCCGCACCTCGCGGAAACAAGAATGGAGTTTCATGTGTGAAGGATAGTCGTTCAGTTGGTGGTAGTGGTGATGAGTCGCATGTTGCTGCTACCGCTACCACTGGTGCTGACATGCCTACAGCTCCCGCTCTTGCTTCTGCTGCTGCTGCCGCTGCCGCTGCCGCCGTTGCCGCCGCCCCTGGTGTTTCTCCTGCTGCTGCAGCCGCCATTGCTGCTGCTGCAGCAGCGGTAGCCGGTGCACAGGGGGCGGGAAAGGGATCCGATGAAGGCGAGAAGGGAGGGCAGCAGGATAAGCATGACGACGCGCAGTACGATGCGTTTGCTGTGATTGCGCACTCTGGAAGGAAGCTGGACAGTGGCCATTATGTGGCGTATCTGAGGCTTGGAGGCGGCTGGTTTCGGTGCGATGATTCGTGGGTCACTGCAGCTGATGAGAAGGATATACTTCATTCCGAGGCCTACATGCTTTTCTATTTGAAGAGAAAGGCTTCTTGATTGGATACGGCACTGTTGATGATGAGAGGTATCGTCGGTGCATTTTCGTGTTTTAGGTTGAAGTTGATGGGTTTTGTTTGGTTAGTTGTATTCGAGAGGGAATTGTGTGTTGTTTGATATTTCAAATATAATGTGCATTGTAGTCGTAAAAAGATAGTGAAATATGATGAGATCTGAAGCTGCATCTAATGTGCATTGTTTGGACCTTGATATGTCACTAGACTTTGAACCAACCATTGTTCTGACTGCTGAGGTACACTGAAATAACCAATTGTATTCATGCCGTGTCATAACGAAGTCCGCCGCGCTGTGTGGTGTGGTTCAGTAGCCCATAGCTGGCAAGCCTCCTAGTCCTACCTATCGCATCACCACAACCGCCAACACAGCCACTACCGCTGCTGCTGCTTCTGATGTTTCTCCTGCTGCTGCTGCTGCGGCTGCCGTATTCGTAGATGTTGCAGCGATCGTATCGACGATTATGTTCAAGAATGCCGCGAAGATTGCCGTGAAGCATCGTTGGCGTCGGCCTTTTCACACAGCACCGTCGCTCGCGCCCGCTCCATCGGCGCGTTTCTCGCTCGCGGTCCGCGTCGCGCTCCTCCTTGCGCTGCTGCTCTCGTTATACTTCGTCAACAGAGAGACTCTATTTATCGACCTCATTTTCCTTCCCCGAACGCGATTCGCTCCCGTGATCCCGCACCCGAACGCGACTCACGCCATCCTGACCCTCGCGCTCGGCCTATCCTCAATACGGGCCTTCTCGTTTGCGAACAAGCAGTCGTACTGTAATCGGCACGGGATCGAGTGCATCTTCGTTACATCTCCGGCCAGTAACCGTACGCCCGTGTGGCAGAAGGTGGAGCTACTAGCGCAATACCTGCCGCAGTACGATTGGATATGGCTTCTCGATCTAGACGCCTTTATTATGAACAAGACCGTCAGCATCGGCGACATAGTCGCTAAAGCGCAGCGTTCCGCGGAACTGAGTGCGCGACGTGAGCGGAAACTTATTGCGGAGACCGGGCGGAAGCTTCGAGCGCAGGAGGACCCCAGCAGTGACGGGAGAGCCGCGGGGGAAGTCGGCGCGCGCAATGCCGATTCCGCCAGAGCGGAGAGCGCAGCAGCCAATAACACCTTTCCCGCCAACTCTCATTCCGCTAACACCGCAACCGCAGCCGCAGCTAACGCCGCTTTCCCCCAAGTCGACTTTATTTATGCGCGCGATTACGAGGACATGGGCCTGAACGCTGGATCGCTCTTCTTCCGCAGCGCGCCGCGGTTTCTCGAAACCGATTTCTTCCCCCATTGGCTGTCCCTCTCGCGGTCGTTCCACAAACGGCAGCTGGAGGAGCAAGGTGCGCTCGCGGACATGCTCCAACGTGACTATAAAGGGGTGCGGAGCGCCTCGGTGCGCCTAGAGATGCAGGAGATTAACTCGTACTGTCCGCAGCATGGAATTGCGGGGTTTAGATGGCGGCCAGGGGATCTGATCGTGCATTTTCCGGGGCAGTGCAAGAAGCGCCTTGTTCCATTCGTGAGGCGTTATGCCAAGGAAATCCTAAGTTGAAATTCTGCTACCACCACCTGACCACACACACCTATCTCCCTGCTCTGCTGGTGTCTGGATGAAAGTCTAGCAAGCATGGTGGTGACATGACATGACATGACATCTGTACCATAATCCAGACCAGACTCCACATCACAGCGATGCGATCATGCGGTAACTTATTCCTTCTGTGTTATCACCTAGGAGGGCTTACCGTATCACCCAGCAGGCCCTGTGTAATCATCACACCAGAAGCAGAAGGGCATGGGCGGGGGCACGGTAATTGATATTCCAGGAACAGGAGGGCTTATATTTTAACAGTTAGGGGGATATAGGATATGGAGTGACGTGTTTGCTAAAATGTACATCAACGAAGTCACAAAGCCCATAGTCTCAAATCAACCATGAGAGCTCACTAAAAGCAAAACGCATTTCAATTCAAGCTGTCAAGTCAAGTCTACATATGCACCTGAATTGTCCCTGCCCGCGCCAGCAGTGGCTCAAGCGCATCATCCAACTGGCTGCATCCATCCACATACACCTCCCGCAAGCTCCTCACGCTCTCCAACCCCTCGGGCAGCTCGCTCAAATTTTCACAGTGCTCCACGTCCAGTACCTGCAGCGAAGCCAAGCGCGACACGGCCACGGGCAGCTTGAGCAGCAGCGGCAGGTGTTTGAGGCTGAGATTGAGGAGAGAGGAGAGATTGCCGAATCCATCCTCTGGTAAGGAGGAGAATGTGTCAGAGAGAGACCATGAGGTGCTGCAGGGAGGTAAGGAGGGTGAGGGAGGCGGGGAGTGTTGAGAGGTTCGGTGAGGTGTCTATGGTTAGAACCCGCAGCCCTTGCATCTGCCCAAGGTCCTCGGGCAGGTTGGAAAAGTCCATCCGGAGGAGATGGAGGCGTTGGAGGTGAGAGAGGGCTGTGATTGAAGGAGGGAGGGGGGAGAGCCGGGGGAGGGCGTGGAGGGTCAGGACTTGCAGCTTCTGTAGTGCGTGGATGTTGGGGAATGAGAGGGGGGATACACGGGATAAGTCATAGAGACGAAGGCTTTCCAGAGAGGATAGTATGGGAACGGTTGTGAGAGCTGGGTTGTGTTCGATGCACAAGTGCTGGAGAGAGGAGAGGTGGGTGATGGCTTGCTGCATGTCGCTGGTGCTCCGTAACGTGTTGGACAGGATTAGGGTTTGCAGGGTGGGTGGGAAGGGCGAGGGCGAGGGGGCGGGCGGGAGCGTGGTGATTTTGACACAGTCACGTATGTCTAGGTGGAGAAGGGAGGGGAGGAGGTGGAGACCTGAAGGGAGGGAAGCGAGGGAGGGGTTTTTGAGAATGAGGAGGCGGCGGAGGGATGGGAGGGGATGGGGAGAGGAGGGCTGGGTTGAAGGCTGAGAGGAGACTGTGTCACCGGAACATGGAGTATGTTCAATGGAAGGAGCTTGGGAAGTGGCAGCAGCAGCAGTGGCAGATGCAGAAGCAGAAGCAGCAGCAATAGCAGCATCAGCAGCAGCAATAGCAGACGCAACAGCAGAGGCATCAGCAGCAGCAGTAGCAGAAGCAGCAACAGCAGCAGCAGCAGCAGCAGCAGCCACAGCAGCAGCGTCATAAGCACCACCAGAAGCAGAAGCATCAGCAGAAACAGCAGCAGCAGCTGCTGCAGAAGCAGAAGCAGCAGCAGTAGCAGACGCAGCAGCAGCAGCAGAAACAGCAGCGGCAGCAACAGCAGCAGCAGCCGCAGTAGCAGCGGCCGCCGCAGTAGCAGTAGCGGCAACAGGAGGAGGGGGGGTGAGTGGTGGAAGAGTCCGCAGCAGCTTGCAGCGCGAGAGCTCTAACTCCTGCAATCCCACGAGGTTGCCCCACCCTGCGGGCATTCCCCTCAGCTTGTGGCAGTTGGAGATACACAGCCGCTGCAGGCGAGTCAGCTGGGTGAACGATGCTGGCAGCTGCTGAAGCTCGTGGCACCCGTGAATTTCAAGGGTAGTTAAGGAACTCGCGAGCTGCCCGAACATGCTCGGCAGGTCAGTCAACGCTGTTTTCCGCGATTCATCGTCGTTGTCGTCGTCATCGTTGTTGTTGTTGTTGTTGTCGCTGTCGCTGCCTGATGAACGTACCCTGTCATAAATGTATGTTTGAAAGCCTAGCTCCCGATCTTCCCGCTTAGTCACCACGCCCTTCCATCCGAGGGTAAGGCTTTCAAGGTTGGGCAGCTGCGAAAAAGATTCAGGAAGGGTCTCCAGAAGTCCGCATCCGGCTATTTCCACTGTGCGGAGCGCTGTCAGCTGCCCGATAGTTTCGGGCAGGTTTTCCAATTCGCAGAAGCTGTGGATAGTGAGCCGCTTCAGCTTCAGAAGCTGCCCAAACGAATCGGGCGGATCACCTGCAACTTTGCTTAGTTGCAGCTCGGTCAGCCCGGACACCTGCCCCAAATCTTCGGGCAGGGATCCCAAAGAACACCCGAGGAGATGCAGCTGAGAGAGTGATTGCATCCCCGCGAAAGACGCTGGCAGCAGCGCCAGATCCTGACAATTCGCCGCATGAAGGTGCATTAGGGACGAGAGGAGAGCGAGAGAGTCCGAAATCGCCGCAAGGGAGGGGAGATCGTCGAGCACGAGGGATGCGAGGCAAGGAACGTCACCAATATCCTCCGGTAAGGAGTCGAGAGAATCGCAGTGCTGAACGGTGAGCGCAGTGAGGGAGGAGAGGGCGGAGAGCGACGCTGGGAGAGCGGCTAAACGAGCGCAGGACTTGATGGTCAGTTCTTGCAGCGAGGGCAGCTCTCCAATGCCGTCAGGAAGCGATTCCAGGTGCGCGAGGCTGGTGAGGAGGAGGCGTTTGAGGGACGAGAGGTGGGCAGAGGAGAAGTTTGGGAGAGAGTCGACATTGACGTCGCGCAGGTGGAGGGTTTCGAGGGATGATAGCAGGCCGATGGAGTGCGGCAGGGATTCCAGGGCAGGTAACTTCACCAGATCCAGGTGTTGCAGACTTTTTAGATGCCCGAGGCCGTCGGGCAGCTGCCGAAGGGCGGCGCAGCCGTCGATTTTCAGCGAGGTGAGGGGGCGGAGGCGGGAGAGGATGTGCGGGAGGGCGCGCACGTAAGTATCGCGGATGCGAAGCGTCCATAACGCGGACAGTGAGCCAACGCTCTCGGGGAAGCGCGGCTCGGGCTCTGGATCCGGCCTGTTATCCCGTTCGTCTCGGTCGAACGAAACGTCCAGCCTCGTCAGCCGCTGCAGGAGGCTCACGGAAGCGGGCAGCTCGGGCAGGCACAGGGGCACCACAAGTTTCAAGCTGACCAGGCGGCGGCAGGCGGCGAAAAGCGCGGAAAAGGCGGGCTCCGTTACTTTCGTTACGGCAATGTCGGGATCTTCGGGGGGGCGATTCGGGTTCCAATAGCGCAGGGTTCCTGTGACTATACAGCGAGAGGTGCGTGAGGGAGGGCGCGCACCCCGTGGCGATGCAGTGAAGGAGATCGTCTGTTATGGCGTCTAGAGCCGATGGGCCGATGTGCAGGTGCTGCAGGGTGAGCGGGGAGTGGAGGGGAAAGGAGGGGGAAACGGCGGAGGCGGAAGCGGAGGCGGGAGTGAGAGGGGAGAGGGAGGGAGGAGGTGGGGAGGAGAGGAAGGAGCGGAAGGTTTGGGTGGAAAGGCAGCGGTGGTGTTGCAGGAGGATGGCGGGGAGGCTGAAGCGCGCCAAGCGGAGCCAGCGCTTGCACACGAGCGCGTGGTGGAACACGGTGAGCGGCGGAGGCGGAAGCAGAGGCGGAAGGGGCGCGGAGTCAGCGGAGGTGTCCGCAGAGGGGGGGCGGATAGGCGGAGGCGAGGATGTGCTCCGCTGACGGCGTGCCGTGATCCGCGGGATCCGCGGGATCCGCGGGATTTTCGGGATCCATGATAGGGTGCGTCATTATTCGAGCGTAATTGGCGGCGGTCGCGTTGGCCTCGGAAAAGATGGCGCTGGTGAGGTAGATGACGCGTAGGCAACTCGCGCACTCTGTTTTCACTGCCCGCGCGATGCACTTGTGCAGCTCGTCCTCACTAGCGTCGCCACGCGCATACCCGTCCCCGTTGTTGACCGACACGTTAACAGCATTCCCCACGTTTCCGGCGATCCCATCGTCGCGCTCCGCAGAAGCACCGTCGCCCCCGTCTGCAGTAGCCTCCACAGCGGCAGAAACGGCGATAGCGGCGGCGGCGGCGGCGGCGGTGGCTGTGGTGGTGCCAGAAGTAACAGCGGCGGCTGTAAGGCGCGGCTTGGGGTGGAAGCAGAAACCGTTAGAGGCCACAAGCGCGAGAATGTGCGCGACGAGATCATCTGAGAGAGGAGCGAAGGGATCGAGATCGAGGTGGCGTGGCCGAGGAAAAGAGCCCTCGTTGAATGAATCCATTTGAGAACCCACGTGTTTGACGAGATGCGCGGCTGAAGGGCGCTCAGTGCGGGCCGAATGAGCTGCACGTGTTATGCTTGTGAAAGTCGGCAAGTGAGAAGGGTTGTGTTGTGAGGTGGAGGTTCAGGGTGTCGTAACGCAAGAGGAGTGAGAGGAAGTTGAGATCGTGTCCGTAGTTTTGACATGTCAAGTTTATGCGTGTCAGCCCGAAGCGTGAGTGTATTTGCGTGTCAATCACTGTAGCTTCGGTGTCAGCTCGAAGCGTCTGTACGAAGATCCACGACGCAAGATCATTCGTTGGGAGTTACTCGCATATGCAAGCAAACGATTCGTGCACGTCCGTTCCTAGGTTTCAAGTAGGAAGCGGTGTGTTTTTATTGGCCATTGGGGGAGCATCCGACTATTTTCTGCGACGATCCTGGCTGGTTCGTAGGTATTGACTGAGTCAGAACTGAAAGTATCCGACGAATTTTACTGGCTATCAAGGCTGCGAAAAAATGACACGCTGCCAACAATGTTGGTGAGTGTCAAAATAGCAAATTGACACTAGTGATTTTGACATGTCAAAACTACGGACGAGCTCTGAGTCGGGGGTCTGAATTTTCTCACAAATGAAAGTTTGATTCTATTGCGGATAGATCGCGATTCTGTGCGTGTTTGAGCGGTTCGAGACGTTTGGGTAGGTTTCGAGCAAAAACGAAGATCCTCTGACGTACAGCGAACTGAAACAAGCACACTCAACCGAGCTTTATCTGAACCGCCAATCGCATCCACCCAACCTGACCAACAGATGTTCCGCACACATCACAGCACCCAATCCTACCGCACGCTGTCCCCGAATCCCTAGAGATGGCATGAGACGGCATGTCACCATAATTTGCACACAGATAGTCAAGTTCTCACGAAATTCCATTTTCGGGAGGCGCGATAGATACAGTTTTGCAGAGATTTGGCGGAGATTTATCATGCATGTAACAAACACATTTCATTTACACTTACTTGCATCTTACCTATTCCACACTTTGTTTGTAAATGATGAAACCCATACCATACCAGCAAACAAATCAGCTACCAGACAGGTGGAGGTGGTTGACACCATGAGATGATACAATCGTAGCTCGTGAACGTAAATCTGGTGTACCCCGATGTAGTTGCCCATCTCTCCAACCGCAACTATCAAGCTCCGCCTACATAAGTAATCTATATGGCATGGAGCTGTATCCTGCCGGTCCGCGCCATGATCGGCTCCGGCAGATCCTCCAATTCGTTGCATCCATCCACATGTACCTCTGGCAGACTCCTCGCACTCTCCAACCCCTCGGGCAGCTCGCTCAGATGCTCGCACTCCTGCACGTCCAGCACCTGCAGCAACGGCAGCTGGGCCACAGCAGCGGGCAGCTTGAGCAGCAACGGCAGGTCATTGACCGTGAGAGATACAAGAGAAGAGAGGTTGCCGAAGCCTTCTTCTGGTAAAGAGGAGACCTGCTCGCACTCCGAGACTCTGAGGTGCTGCAGGGAGGTGAGGAGAGTGAGGGAGGCGGGGAGTGCTAGTAGCTTCTTTGCGGTGTTGATCGTTAGAATGCGCAGCCCTTGCATCTGCCCGAGGTCCTCGGGCAGGTTGGAAATGTGCATGTGGCTCAGATGCAGGCGTTGGAGGTGAGAGAGGGCTGTGATTGAAGGAGGGAGGGGGGAGAGCCGGGGGAGGGTGTGCAGGGTCAGGATTTTCAGTTTCTGTAGCGTGTGGATGTTGAGTAATGAAATGGGAGAGATAAGGGACAAGTCATAGAGAGAAAGGCTTTCCAGGGAGGGTAGAATGGGAACAGTTTTGAGAGATGGGATGTGTTCGATGCACAAGTGCTGGAGAGAGGAGAGGTGGGAGATGGCATGCTGCATGTTGCTGGTGCCATGTAGCGTGTTGGACAGGATTAGGGTTTGCATGGTGGGTGGGAAGGGCGAGGGTGGGTGGGAAGGGCGAGGGCGAGTGGCGCGGCGGGAGCCTGGTGAGTTTGACACAGTCACGGATTTCTAGGTGGAGTAGGGAGGGGAGGAGGTGGAGACCTGAAGGGAGGGAGGCGAGGGAGGGGTTTTTGAGGATGAGGAGGCGGCGGAGGGATGGGAGGGGGTGGGGAGAGGAGGGCTGGGTTGAAGGCTGAGGGGATGGATGGGGGGCATGAGCAGTAAGGGGAACGTGGGAAGAAGCAGAAGCAGTAGAAGCATCAGCAGTAGAAGTCGCAGCAGAAGCAGAAACAGCAGGAGGTTCAGTTTCAGTAGCGGCAACAGGAGGGGAGGGGGTGAGTGGAGGCAGCGTCCGCAGCAGCTTGCAGCGAGAGAGCTCCAACTCCTGCAATCCCAGAAGGTTGCCCCACCCTGCGGGCATTCCCCTCAGCTTGTGGCAGTTGGAGATACACAGCCGCTGCAGGCGAGTCAGCTGGGTGAACGATGCGGGCAGCTGCTGAAGCTCGTGGCACCCGTGAATTTCTAGGGCAGTTAAAGATTTCGCGAGCTGCCCGAACGTGCTCGGGAGGTCAGTGAAAGCAGTTCTTGGCGTATCTCCATCATCGTTGTGGCTGTTGGAAAGAACCGGGTCAAACACGCAGGTTGCTAGACCGAGCTCCTGATCCTCCCTTTTAGTCACCAGACCCTTCCATCCGAGAATTAGGCTTTCGAGGCCGGGCAGTTGCGAAAGCGATTCAGGGAGTGTTTCCAGCCGTGCGCAGCCAGCTATTTCCACTGTGCGGAGTGCCGTGAGCTGCCCGATAGTTTCGGGCAGGGCTTCCAAATTGTAGCAACCGTGGATGGTAAGGTTTTCAAGCTGAGTGAGAGTGACCGGCAGAGGGCGCCGAAACGGAGAACGAGCGATAGTGAGTCGCCGCAGCTTCAGCACCTGCCCGAACGATTCGGGTAAATCGCAGGTTACTTTATTCAGATGCAGCTCAGTCAGCGCCGGCAGCTGCCCGATTTCTTCGGGCAGCGATCTCTAAGGACACTTGAGGAGCTGCAGGCGAGAGAGGGAGTGCATCCCCGCGAAAGACGCTGGCAGGCGCGTTAGAACCCTGCAGTCCGCCGCGTGAAGGTTCGTTAGGGAGGAAAGGAGAGCGAGAGAGTCCGGAATAGCCGTAAGAGAGTGAAGATAGTGGAGGACGAGAGAGGCGAGGCGTGGAACGTCACCGATATCCTCCGGTAACGAGGTGAGGGCAGAGCAGTTATAAACGGTGAGAGCAGTGAGGGAGGAGAGGGCGGAAATGGAGGGCGGGAGAGCCGCTAAGAGAGAGCAGGAACTGATGTTGAGTACTTGCAGGGAGGGCAGCTCCCCGATGCCGTTAGGAAGCGATTGCAGGAGCGAGAGGTTGGTGATGAAAAGGCGTTTGAGTGAGGACAGGTGGGCGAAGGAGTCTGGGAGAAAGTCGGCATTGAGCGCAACCAGGTGGAGGGTTTCGAGGGATGATAAGAGGCCGATGGAGTCGGGCAGGGAATCCATGGAAGACGAGCCCGCCAGCTCCAGGTATTGCAGCTTTTTTAGCTGCCCGAGACCGTCGGGCAGCTGCCGGAGGGAACTGCAGCCGACGAGTTTCAGCGAGGTGAGGGAGCGGAGGCAGGAGAGGGTGTGCGGGAGGGCGCGCACGCAAGGCGCGCGGATGCTTAGAGAACGTAACGCGGAGAGCGAACCAACGCCTTCGGGGAACCGCGGCTGGGGTGTTGGCTCTAACGCCGTAGCGGCATCACCACCAGCGACCGCCCTGATATGCGGATCGAGGCGGCCGCATGAAACTTCCAGCCTCGTCAGCCGCTGCAGGAGACTCACGGACGCGGGCAGCTCGGGCAGGCACAGGGGCAGCGTGAGTTTCAGGCTGACCAGGCGGCGGCAGGCGGCGAAAAGCGCGGTAACGGCGGGCTCTGTTACTTTCGCGACGGCGTCGTCGGGGTCGATGGAGCCGCGGTTCCGCTCCCAGGAGCGCAGGTTCATGTGGCGATACAGCGACAGGTGCGTGAGGGAGCGCGCGCACCCCGTGGCGATGGAGTGAAGGAGATCGTCTGTTATGGCGTCTAGAGCCGATGGGCCGATGTGCAGGTGACGCAGGGTGAGCGGGGAGTGCAGGGGAAAGGAGGGGGAAACGGCGGAGGCGGGTTCGGGACTGGGAGGGGCGAGGGAGAGGGAGAGGGGTAGGGGAGGGGAGGAGGGGCAGGGAGGAGGTGCGGAGGAGAGGACGGAGCGGAAGGTTTGGGTGGAAAGGCGGCGGTCGGCTTGCAGGAGGATGGCGGGGAGGCTGAAGCGCGCCAAGCGGAGCCAGCGCTTGCACACGAGCGCGTGGTGGAACACCGTGAACGGCGGAGGCGGAGGCGGGGGCGGAAGAGGAGCAGAGGTCGTGCGGGCTTCGGAAAGGGAGGGCGGAAAGGCGGAGGCGAGGATATGCGCAGCTGACGGCGTGTGGGGATCGTCGGGGTCGAGATGGAGTGTCATGGTTCGAGCGTAGTTGGCGGCGGTCGCTGCGGCCTGAGAGCTATGGCTTCGGTGAGCTCTACAACGCGTACGAAACGCGCGCACGGTTTTTTCACTGCCCGCTCGATGCACTCGAGCATTTCGTCCTCACCCCTTTCGCCAAGAGCATCGTAGTCCTCGCTGCTGACGGCACCGTCACTCCCGTCCCCAACCGCATTAGCCTCCACATCGGCAGAATCGGCGAAAGCGGCGACGGCGGCGGCGGTGGTGGCGGCGTCAGAAGTAGCAGCGGCGGTTGTGAGGCACGGATTGCGGTGGAAACGGAATCCGTTGGAGTCGACGAGAGCGAGAATGTGAGCGACGAGATCGTCAGAGAGGCGCGCGAAAGGATCGGGTTCGAGGCGGCGCGTCCGAGGTGGTGACGAACTGGTGTTGAACGAATCCATTTCAGACGCCACGCTCGACGAAGTTGCGCAGCAGCGGTAAAAGGAGCCGCACGTTGGGATTTACGTGAAAGCCGTCGAAGAAGAAAGGACTAGAGTGTGGCCCTGTGAGTGAAGGAGATTAACGAAATCGCTTTAGTGGAAGAGCTAACAAAAGCACCTAGCCCAGCAATTGACAAAGGGTTGCTGCGGAGTAGAGATCGAAGAAATTACAAATTGCGTTGCGTGGACTTCTAGAGATTTCTCGGCAGTGTAGCACACAGAAGATGAAGATGCATCACCGTGCAGATACCCATTCCACCGAACGAAAACACACTCAACACCAGACTCCACCCAAACCGCCCATTACAACCTAATCAGGGGCTCGAGGTGCGATGACGATCACACCACATCGCAGCACCCAATCCAGCCGCGTCGCATCCGAATTTCTGGGAATGGCATCGCATGGGGTCGTTCGCACGCCGTCGTGATTTGCACCACGAAAGTCGTCTTCGCGAAACTCGTTTCCGAGGATGGGCGATAAATGCAATTTTACAGACAAGCAGCCTAGGTATGGCGCATGTTACAACACATTCAATCTCCATCTTTTCCCTATGGTGCATCTATGATAGATTGCTTCGTCCAGGCCACATCTGCGAAGCTTCCGGTAGATAATGTCAGAAGAACCATGCATGCTTCATGCCCCTTCGCCCACACAATAAGTGCTCCACTTTCCCTCACCACACAGACATGGAGCCGTAATTTTTGCTCTCTCGAGTTATATTCATTTGTACAAATAAGCCACAGCTAGAGCTGGCCCTGCTCCTCCATCCTGCACTCCTCCTAACTTGGTTACTTGCTACCAAGCCCTTACATAGTCATCAGCAATCCCATGAGACATGACACCTCAGAACCGTTTACAAAAACAACACAAGCGGCAGTTAGCTTATGCAGCAATGAGGTCACCTCACCAGTCAAGGCCAAGATCACGTGAAACAAATAGATCCTCCACCGCAGCAGCGACATCAGTGACACTTGTAACAAACTCGGATGATGGCTCACGCCATGACTCCTCTGCTAGTTTGGTTGGGATTGACATGAGCAGAGGCCAGGCAAGCATAGCAGATGGCACATAAACCCATCATATTTCTTTGTCCCTTTGAGAGAGCAGAGGGGACCAGGGATTACAGCAGGCAATAGGAATTACTCGGGTGCAACATAATTGCAATGCAGAAATCTTCCAAGGCATTGGGCAACAGGGAAAGGGGCGAACAATACAGTGCAAGAGGAAGGAAGACGCCATCCCACCCCTGCTGCTATCAGCTCCAACTTCTCCAAAAGTGCCAGAAACAAGAGAATCGCCAGATTGAACGATAGATATCGATTAACCACCATGGCCCAGCAACCTCTGCAACCTCGTCCTCTGTCATTCTTTCCATAGTTTCGTCACATCCAACCATCCAACCCAACCGAACCGAACCCAGCCCCCTTCGCCCACAAGCCACCACGACACCCACACTCTCGCGCAGCCTTACCGAGGTGGTGCAGAAAATACTCGGTGGATGGAAGAGCATACATACCATACCAGCACCCATGTGGCCGCAGCACTCAGCATGCACTGGCTTTAATATCGGCCAAGCACTCACCGTCTTCCCCGAGGTGGTGCAGGAAGGAGTCGGTGGAGGGGAGCGCGTACATGCCAGCAGCCACGAGGCTGCAGCTGGCTTTCAGGTGGGCTCAAAACTCACCACGTTACAGCAGCGCTACATGCAATGGCACTCAACAAATCTCAGGGCCGGCTCAACACTCGCCGTGCTGGCTTTAAGAAGGCCGGCTCAACACTCGCCGTGCTGGCTTTAAGAAGGCCGGCTCAACACTCGCCGTGCTGGCTTTAAGAAGGCCGGCTCAACACTCGCCGTGCTGGCTTTAAGAAGGCCGGCTCAACACTCGCCGTGCTGGCTTTAAGAAGGCCGGCTCAACACTCGCCGTGCTGGCTTTAAGAAGGCCGGCTCAACACTCGCCGTGCTGGCTTTAAGAAGGCCGGCTCAACACTCGCCGTGCTGGCTTTAAGAAGGCCGGCTCAACACTCGCCGTGCTGGCTTTAAGAAGGCCGGCTCAACACTCGCCGTGCTGGCTTTAAGAAGGCCGGCTCAACACTCAGCGCGCACTGGTTGTAAGGTCGTATGAGCACTCACCGTCTTCCCCCAGGTGGTGCAGGAAGGAGTCGGTGGAGGGGAGTGCGTACATGCCAGCAGCCACGAGGCTGCGGATGGCCCACGAGTGGTGAGCGCTGAACACCTCGCTGTATGCCCGGCTCGCATGCTCCCTCAGTGGCTTCATGCTGCACCGTGCGAGGGGCATGGGGTGTGGGGGGAGAGCACGGGGAAGGGCGGGAGGGGGGGGAAGGCAGGAGGAGAGAGAGGAGAAGATGAAGGGGAAATTGTTGAGCAGACGGCGGCAGAGGACTCAGATGCTCAAGACATGGCAGAGGAAGAAGCATGTCAAACATAGTGTTCATGCTATCTGAATGGGTTGGATACTGAGAATACAGAGTTCATTGTTGAATCCTAAGTTGCTGCCACGTATTATCCAAATGGCGCCTAACTGGTGTCCTCTTGCATGCTGTCTGTGCTCTGTAGCATACAGAACACATGGTTTAGCGAGTGAATGCCCACAATGCAAGGTTGTAAGATTGTGCTGTGACAGGTTCTGTCTAATGGGCAGCCATACCAGGATTGAGCACTCGCCGCAGGTAGGTTGCTGATGAGCCAATCCAGCAATTTTACTTTCGCCCACAACAACGCACACGTGTACAACCACACGTGAACACTCCCACACACACGCACGCCCACACTCCCTCCCTCTCCCCCATTTCCTCCCCTTTCACCTCCTCCCCCCTCCCCCCTCTATTTCCCCACTCACACACCCGGACACACACTCACTCAGTCGCACGCACCAGTCGCACCAGGAGAAGAGGCGACGCATCACGCCGAGGTCTTTTGAGGCACCTCAAAAGACCAGGACCGCCCCTCTTTCCCCCCCCCACGCACTCCAACGCACCAGTCTTCAAGGATGTAAGAGAAGAGGCGGCGCATCATGTCGAGCCCGCGCAGCACGACACGCATGATGAAGATAGCATGGTATCTGTGCTCCGTAGCACAGCATACGTGGGTCCAGTGAACAACACCAGCACCTTTCTCTCTGTCGCACGCACCAGTCTTCAAGGATATAGCAGAAGAGGCGGCGCATCATGTCGAGGCCGCGCAGCACGCGCAGCAGGTTGCGCGTGTGGCTGTTCTGCACCTTCACAGAGCCCTTGCTCACGTCCGCATCCACCATGCCGCCCAGCGTCGAGAACTCCTTGCCTGCTGCCGTCAGGTCCTTCACCTGGGGAGATTGCGGTGTGGTTGGATTGGAAGGAGGGATGCGGTAGAGAGAGGTGGGGATGGGTTGGAGAGAGGAGGGAACGGGGGTTGGTGCTGTTCTGCACCTTCACAGAGCCCTTGCTCACGTCCGCGTCCACCATGCCGCCTAAATTCGAGAACTCCTTGCCTGCTGCCGTCAGGTCCTTCACCTAGGGAGAGGACGGGGCGGGGCGCCAGGGAGAAGGGGTGCAGTGGAGAGGGGTTGGGATGGGTTTAGTTTAGTGAGACGAGGGGAGGAGGGATTGTGCTATTCTGCACATTCACAGTGCCCTTGCTCACGTCCGCGTCCACCATTCCACCCAGAGTCGTGATATCTCCTTGCCTGCTGCCGTCAGGTCCTTCAGCTAGGAGATTGCAGGTTCGAGAGAGGAGAGGACGAGGGGTTGTGCTGTTGTGCACCTTTACTCAATTTCTGCTCACATCCGCGCCCATCACGTGTCACCCTGCCTGCTGCCGTCAGGTCCTTGCACGAGAAGAGAGGAAGGGTGAGGAGGAAAGTGTAGAGGATGCGGTGGAGAGAGGGGTGGATGTGGTGGGTGTTTCAAGTCGACTAAAAACACACCCGAATTCTCAGCTGCAGCTCGTTTAAGATCCTCTGTAGAATCGTTTCCCTGGTGACTCGTAACGTCTCCGCTCGCACCTACCTTATCCGTAAAGTCCTTCCCAGCGAACGCGAAGGCGACACCCAGGAGCGAGAAGAGCCGCGAGATGCCGTCGCACGCGTGCGCGAATTCCGCCACGCTCATCGCCTCCGCCTTCCCCGCCACGCTCGCCTTCCTCCGCCCGTCTCCTCCGGCGACAGAATCCGCACCAGCATCAGCAGCAGCAGCTCCGGCAGCAGCAGTATCAGCGGCATTAGAGCTGTCTGCTTTGGCAGTGGCACCCATGGTACGTTGCAAATCACCGAACCGTTTCGCCAGAACTCTCAGATTTCGGTGCTCGTCGCCTGGCGAAGCTGACACCGGCGGCGCTGCAGCGGTCGCGGCGTTCCCCGCGTCAGCACTCGCCCCCTCGACTGCTGCGCCTTCCGAAGCCATGGGTTGTAAAACAGCCGCGCGTCGATACAACTGAAAGAACGGCCGGGAGATCAGATACACAGCACTGTGTGCAAACACGTCAGAGCAGAGTTCCCGACGCCGGACTCGACGCGGGCCTGGTAACGATACGAGAATGATCTGTCGACAGCCCACTGCTGACGCAACAATCTAACGTGCTCAGTGATCAATGATCAATGATACGTGCTCGGAGCTAAAGGAAAAGAATCTCCTGAAAGCTAGCGCCAGAGCAGCAGCGACGTGACTGGAGTCCCAAGTCCCATGATATTTCCCCAGGTATTGTAAACCGTGAATTTGTGAAATTTGGGCCTGGCCCTCAGTGGGACGGCTTTGTGGGTCTAGAGAGTTGCGAACAGCCGAAGGGTAACCAACTAATGTGTCGGACAGCAACTTGAGTCGAATTTCGCGGGTTCGTAATTCGTGCGAAACTGTTGCCAGCCTTGCGAAACGAGTCTTGGCTCTGGGACGACAACACGAGACTGGCTTCGGCCTGGTTACCGTACCGTCTCGCAATCATCACCCAGCTTGCGGGAAACAAATTCCCAAGGAAAGCACTCGGTACAAACATAACATTTACAAACAAAATTAACAACAAAAATGTGAAAACGATTCTTGTGGGAAACAGCAAACCCACTTCCCACAGAATTCAATTTCCATGGTTACAGTGCCCCCCTCAAAGAGCATCCATGGACAGACCCTAGCTGGTCCCGTCCCTGCTTTATACTAGCAGCAGGTAAGGGAACCAATATTCCATTGTCAGGAAAAAAATGTAAGTGAAACACGGATCAAGCGACACAGCTAAAAGAAGCGGTCGGGAGGAGATCCTACACCGTGGCCGCCAGAAAGAAAGGAGGGGAGGCGATAGCTGGTGGACAAATCACCCAATGCGCTGCCACCACCACCAGCACCACCACCACCAGAGACATGCATGCCTCCCGCTGCTGCTGCAGTGGCAGCAGATGCGGAGGAGGGAAGGGAGCGGCGAGAGAGCATATCGGCCCCGTGGAACGAGCTCTCTCGGCTGCTGCTGCTGCTGCTGGGACTGCCGTGATGCAGCATGTTGGTGCTGCTGCTGTTGCTGCCAGCGCCGGCACTGTGACCACCGCCGCTGCTGCTGCCACCTGCTCCGCCATTGCTGCTGCCACCCCGCTTTGCACGCACACTGATTCCCACTGGGAAGGGCTCCTGAAGAGGTGAAGGTCAGAGGTGAAGTTCAGAGGTGAAGGTCAGAGGTGAAGTTCAGAGGTGAAGGTCAGAGGAATCGGAGGGGAGCAAGAGAGCCAATGAGAAACTATCAGGGAGGGGGAAAGGAGCAGGCAAAGACAACCAATTTAGGAGGGGAAAAAGGCTGACATGACCTCCCATTGCTCACAATACAAGATCTTGCAGAGCGACTTACACAGCAGCAGCACCAGAGATGCAGGGATGTATAGGAAATAAAAACGGTGGGCATTAAGAGGTTCCCTGCCAGCACTGGCGCTCACCTGGTCGCCTGCGTTTGGGCCCTGCGACTGGAACAGGATGGGGCGGCAGCGCTTGTCCTCGTTCATGAGCGAGGAGTTTTGGAAGTGGGCGATGAGCGCCTGCTTGCCCTGGATGCGCGCATACGCTATGTTGGCCACCTTCTCACTGTTGAACTTCTCCCACCGCTTCCCGTTGAAGCTCTGACGATACAGTAGCAGGGAGGTTAGGGATGGCAAGAGGGGACAGTGTTAGACAGAGTCGTTACACACGTGTTGTACAGCAGACAGCAGATGGGCCCCGGCTATGTACGCTATATGTTGGCCACCTTCTCACTGTTGAGCTTCTCCCACCGCTTCCCCTTGAAGCTCTGCCTTGACATGAAGGAGCGGGGTTACGGAGTACAGGGGGGTAAGGCAGGGCAGAGACGATGGGTACCTAAGAGACAGAAAGGCCATAAGCACAGGCATACACTCTAAATCGGATAGCCCTGCTCAAACTAAGGCAGGCAAGAGGATTTTTTTAATCCGGGAGCCGAACCAGAGAGCATGAACAGGGGTGGTCGAGAGGTGCAGCGAGAGGTGGGAGGGTTGGAGGTAGGGCCGGCGAGCTGCAGGGTGTGGGTAGCTAAAAAGAAAAGAAGAACACAGTAGCAACACACAGCTAGTGGCAAAAACACTAGTTGCTCAGAAACTAGCAGCACAGAACAAGTAGCACAAGACTAGCAGCACAGAACAAGTAGCACAAGACTAGCAGCACAAAAATCGGAAGCAGGAGTAGAAGCAGCAGCAGCAGCAGAAATACCTGGTAGAGTGGAACGATCTTATATGGGTCCATCATGTTGATGAAGGCATATCCCACGTTGCACTTGTTCTGCTTGCGATAAGCGGTGGGGTATGGGGGAGTGGGGGGGAGACGCACGCGACAAAAGTAAGCGAGAGATTTACACCGAGCAAAAATGACTGGAGAAATGAAAGGGGTGGGGGGGGGAGGTGCGTGCATGGTGCTGAAGCGACACGATACACGATAGAAATGAAGGATGAATACCGAAGCACCATGGATGGATGCTGAAGTCCGCAGAGTTGGAATGGCAGGAATATGAGGCAGCAGCAGCAGCAGCAGGAACGGAGAGAGAGGGGGAGTGGTGAACGGCAGAAAGGCCGAGAGAGAAGGAGAAGAGGGTACGGGGAGGAGGAAAAAGGAGGAAAGCGTGGGTGGGATGGGGCGGACCTTGAAGTCAATGGGAAGGTAGAAGAAGTCGTATGTGCCCTTGTGCTTCTCATCAATGGCTGCCAGGAGCATCTTTTGTGTGTACCTGCAGATACACACATGCATGCACACACATGCATGCACACGCATGCATGACACACACATGCATGACACACACATGCATGAAATTTGTCCCACATACATGAAACACAACACAGCCATACAGGCACGTAACATGCGCAGGCACATTCATCCAGCCACACACACGCACAAACATGGAAACGAATAGAACTCAACAAGAGGGTGGGGACCATTGGCAATGGCTGGCAGAATTACTGACACCAACACCGTCTCAAACAGGCTGCCGCAGACTCTCTTATACCAACAACTTTCCACACACAGCATCCTGCTTGCCAACATCTCTCCCACCACTACAGTTTGAGCGAAAAAACAAACAAACAAAACAAACAAAACAAACGAAACCAAACAAAACAAAACAAGGAAGAACCCTACAATGGAACGGGGCTCACTTGTTGGGAATGTTCTTGATCATGAGCGTGGTGCGCGAGTCCTCCCCTCGCAGTATCCGATCCACTTCCAGCAGATACTGCCGCTTCGCATCCCCACCCACCCCCCCACCCCCGCCGCCTCCCCCACCCTCCGACCTCCTCCCTCGACTCCTCTCCCCATACCCTTCCATCCCTGCCCCTCCTCCTGCCGCCCCGCCACCCCCTCCTCCCCCTCCTGGCCCTCCTGCAACCCTCCCAGCGTTCTCCCCCCCTCCCAGCCCCGACAACGACCGTCCACTGGCAATGTTCTTCAGGTGAGGCGACAGCAGACTGGGAGAGGGAGGGGTGCCTTCCAAACCACTCTCCATCCCCAGCATAAGAGCCGCCGCCACTGCTCCTGCACCCCCACGTGCTCTATCCATGCTTCCCATACTGCCCATGTTGCCCATACTGCCAACTGCCTCGCGCAGGCTAATGCTGCTAGCCGAAACACCTGAGGATAAACCTGGTGGGGTTATTCCTCCCACCCCGTATTGCGACCCAAGCCCTCTCCCGAGCCCAGATCCCAGGCTCGACGCCAAGCTGGGATTCAGGCTCGGCATGCCCAGACCTAACCCAGCACCGCTGAAATCAACTGTCGCAGAGCCAGCAGCCGCTGCTGCTGCTGCTGCTGCTGCTGCAGCACTGTTGAAATCAACAGCAGGGGACGCTGCTCTGGGCGCTCCTGCTCCTGCTGCTCCTGCTGCTGCTGCAGGTGGTGGAAAATGGAGACCAAAGGTGGTGTCAACACCGTGATGCAGAGCAGCAGCGGCGGACAGAGAGCTAGACAGCGCACCAGCAAAGGAGCCCGCCGAGAACGAGCCAGAAAGAGAACCGAAATGATCCATCCCATGCACCACACGACCACCACTACCAGGCACAGCCGCTCCCACTGCTGCTCCTCCTGCTCCCACCCCCGACCGTCCGGCCCCCATGCCTGTTCCACTCCCTCCCACAGAACCTCCCAGCAGCCCGTTACCTAAGAGAGGGCTGTCGTAGGAAAACGAGTCGGGCGAGCCTGAGAGAAGGCTGTAGGAGCGACCGGGGAGGAGGGGGTCTGACGCGGCGAAGTGAAGGTGCGAGTCGGAGTTGTGATGGGGCGAGCGCATGTGGATTGGGTGGTGGTGCTGCTGGTGGTGCATGGAATGCTGCTGCGCATGTACATGCACCTGCTGCTGCTGCTGCTGCTGGCGGTGCTGCAACGGCTGCTGAAACAGCTGCTGCTGCTGTTGACGGTGGTCAAACAGCTGGTGTTGCTGCTGCTGCTGGTGTAGTTGCTGTTGCTGTTGCTGTTGCTGCTGTTGCTGCTGCTGCTGCTGCTGCTGCTGCTGCTGCTGCTGCTGCTGCTGCTGCTGCTGCGCTTGAGCCTGCGCATACAACTGCAATTTCATTGCAAAAGGGTCTGCAGCACGGTGGGCAGGGGCCGAAAACCCATGAGGACCCCCACCGCCGCCACCAGCAGCATCACCACCACTAGCACCACCAGCAGCGCCACCACCACCAACAGCACCAGTGGTAGCAGAGGAAGCAGAAGCCATGGTTGGTGAGGAGTGACCGAGCGCTCCAAACGAGTGAGCTCGGCCCATCTTAGCAACAAGCCCACCCATTTCCGAACCCATACCCATGCTTCCACTGCCACCTGTTAACGCGTCCGCCCCAACTGCCCCTAACCCTGGCAGCCCATGCTGCTGCTGCTGCTGCTGCTGAAATGAAAGCTGGTTGAGCAGGTGTGATTGCAGCGTGGGATTTGCACCTCCTGCTGAAGCTTGCAAGCTCAGGGTTTGTGCTAAGGTCAGGAGAGACACAGGCAACCGCTGTTGCTGCTGTTGGTGCTGCTGATGCAGCTGCTGATGCAGCTGCTGCTGCTGGTAGTGAAGCAGTTGCATCTGCTCGTGAAGGGCCGGGCGTAGCGCTGGTGGCAGCGACGGGTGAAGAGACGAGGGACCCCCTCCCCACAAGGCGTTCTCTGGGAGAGACGAGGAGAGGTGCGTGTGGGAGGAGAGTGCACGTAGCTGCTCTTCTAGCTGCTGCTGCTGCTGCTGATGCCTCTGCCGCTGCTCCTGCAACTCCTGCTGCTGCTGCAACTGCAGCAGCTGCTGCCGGTGCTGAATGTGGTGCTCCAAACCCCGTGCTGAGACTCCTCCTCCCTGCTGCTGCTGCTGCTTCTCCCCATGCTCCAAGATACTACTCACAAGAAGCGACTCAGTGTTGGCCCAGCTACCACCACCGCCACCACTCCCACGCACAGCGCGTGCAACCGCACCCAGGGACGTCTCAGAGCTCGCTCTGGGCATCCACGCAGGACCAGCACCGGGGTTCACCGCTTGGTATGGGGACGGACCAGCACTTGCAGCTGCATTGGCTGCAGCGACGGCAGCGGCAGTTGAAGCAGCAGCTGCAGCAGCCGCAGCAGCTGCGGGTGGGTTTATTGCGTAAAGGCGCGCGTGGGAGTCGTTGTTTGGGGCGGACGCGAGGAAGGGAGAGGGAGAGGAGGAGGAGGAGGAGGAGGAGGAGGAGGAGGAGGAGGAGGAGGAGGAGGAGGAAGATGAGAAGGCTGTGGCAGCGGCGTTGAGATTGTAGTCTGGCAGGGAGTTGGAATGGTGCAGCAGACGCTGTTGCTGCTGTTGATGCCACAATTGCACCGACTGCTGCTGCTGCTGCTGCTGCTGCTGGCTTTGCTGCTGTCCTTGTTGCTGCAGAATCTGAGCCAGCACTTGCTCATCTCGCTGCACTGTTTTCTGCGGTTTCTCAACTCCCTGTCCTTCCCCTCCCTCTACCTCACTCCCCTTACCATCACCCCCACCACCCCCACCACCTCTACCACCCCTAACAGCCCCATGCCCATATAAAAGCTCCACACCCGCCGTCCTCACCCCTGCACCTGCGTCTCCGCCATCAGCACGCGGGGGGGAGGACGCGGGAGGGGCGCCAGGGGGGAGAATGCGCCCCCCGCGCCCCACTTCCACCGTGGTGGCGGCTGCAGCGGCGGCAGCCGCCTCATGGGGGGAAGACGGGGGGAGAGGCGGAGCTTGGTGCGCGCTTCCCCCCTGGGAGCGCCAGAGGCGGTCGGATGGGGGCAGAGAGACGGAGATGGGGCCAGCTGCGTCTAGGAGAGCGCTCAGTGGGAGCATAGGGGGGAGCGGAGGCTCCTCCTCCTGCTGCTGCTGCTGCTGCTGCTCGTTTTGCTGCTGCTGCTGCTGTTGCTGGTGTTGGTGTTGCTGCTGGAAAAAGGACTGAGATCGCTGCTGTTGCTGTTGCTGTTGCTGCTGCTGGTTGCGCTGCTGCTGCTGCTGCTGCTGCTGCTGCTGCTGCTGCTGCTGCTGCTGCTGCTGCTGCTGCTGCTGCTGCTGCTGCTGCTGCTGCTGCTGCTGCTGCTGCTGCTGCTGCTGCTGCTGCTGCTGTTGCTGCTGCTGCTGCTGTTGTGCTTGCAGCTGCTGCTCCTCCTGCAGCCACTGCTGCGCGTGGGATTGCTGCTGCACTGAGCGGTTCTGAGACAAGGATTCGGATGCCTGTGACAAGCCAAGGTGCACACGCACGGACAGACACAAGCAAAAACACTAAGGGTACGTTCTGGGCCCTGGTCAAACTTCTGGTCATCCAAACCCAACTTCTGGTCAGCGATCAAGTGTGTGTTGAGTGGGAATGCACTATTGACCAAAAGCTTCTGGTCATCCAACTTCTGGTTGACATTTGGTTAGGGCCACGGGATACACTGAAACCGCACAGTACATAAACAGCCTTAAAAAAAAAAAAAAAAAAAAAAAAAAAAAACGGAAAATGCTCGCAAGCGCCAGAAATTGTTGGAAGTGCAATTGCTCACAACCGGAGTGTTGATAGCAGGGAGGGGAGCTTGATAGAATGGAGTATAAAAAAAAAACAGCGACCACACACAAAACGCTCACCTCCTGTGGCTGCTGCTGCTGTTGCTGTTGCTGTTGCTGCTCCTCCTGCTCCCGCTGAGCTGCAGCAGCTGCCGATGCTGACCCAGCACTCTCTTGACTAGTCGCGCTGACGGCAAAAACACAAGAACACACGGGGGCAAGCCCATCCGAAGAGATACAAACGAGGGAAGCGTGATTGGAGGCGAGAACGGAAGAAGAGGGAGGACAGAGAGGAAGAGACCTTCCCCTGGGTGGATGAACATGGCGGCTCAAGCAAGCAGTGCCTTGATTAACCGGCGTGCGGAAACAAGAGCAGCGAATGCCCCCATGGGAGCTCAATTTCCTCCTCACCTGCAGCGAGCGTCCCCGGGGCGGGTCGCGTGGAGCGTGACCCCCGTGGGGCCTCCGTTGACGCTGCTGCTGCTGCTGCTGCTGCTGCGGTTGAGCGCCCTGAGCGCCGCCTCTGCAGCACGCACGTCGTAGAACTCCACCAGCCTGTGCTGCTGCTGCTGCTGCCCCGGAGCCTCGCGGATCTGCCCACAGGAGTGTGAGGGGCGCGAGACGGGGAGGCAGGGAGAAAGGGAGGGGCGGGGAGGCGGGAAAGAGGAGGGGAACGGGAGGGAAGAGGAGATATAGCAGGTGTTCCCATGAGCACGCTCAAGCATACGTTCCCATGTCATAAAACTCGACCAGTCTGCACTGCTGCTGCCTGGGGGCCTTGCAGAGATGAGAGAGTGGTGTAGCAAGAAAGTGGCGGGAGGTGGAGTGAGTGAGCAAGAGAGCGGCGGAGCGGGACGGAGTGAATCAGGAAGCAGAGACAGACGTGGAAGGCTGACCTCCTTGACGTCGCCGTAAGCGGAGAAGATGTGGAGAAGCAAGTCGTGGTGCGTCGTGGCGGCCTTGACAGTGGCGCCGCTGGTGGAGGGGGATGCAGCCGCGACGGGCACCAGCAGCGTGCCCTGATTCATGTCCTTGTCCGACGGGTTATCCTGCTGCCGGCCGGGCATACAGACAGACAGACGCAACGACAGCCATTGCCAACGCATGGAGAGAGTGTGGGAGAGTGAGCGAAACACACGCAGAACTGACACGTAAAGACGCATAGAAAGATACGAAGAGAGATAAACGAACAGCTTCAGAACCTTGCACACAGCAAGAGCCACACGACACGAGGACAAGTGTGGACATGTACGAGCACTCACAGCTACAGATACGTACAGACACTTCAATTCACGCGTACAAAGACGTAACGACACGTACGCAGGCAGGCAGGCATGGGAGGAGGTTTCAGGCAACTTCTGTAGCGCACTGCGCGTAGCCATGCTCTGGGGATGCTGAATGAACCCTTAGCGATGGACACGGGACGTTGGGGTATCAAATGTACGCCAAGGGAGGGATATGGAACGGATGGAAGACGGAGGAAAACGGACCTTGGGGATGGAGAAGTGGATGTCGAGGTTGCGGCGGCGCAACGGCGTGCCCTGCAGCGCGGCCATGGCAGCGAGCGCAGCGCGGAGGTCGTAGAAGGACACCATCACGAACCCGCGGTGCTTGCACGCCGTGTACAGCGTGCGGATGTCCCCGTGCCGCTGCCAGGGGGGGGGGGGGGGAGAGGGGGGGGGAAAGGGGAGGGAAGGAATGAATGAAGAGGTGAGTTTTCGGGATGCTGACGCTTGAACCCGCGGTGCTTGCACGCCGTGTACACCGTGCGGATGTCCCCGTGGCGCTGCCAGGGGGCCGGGGGGGAATACGGGGGAGGTTGGGAAGGGGGGAGGGGGAAAAGGGGGGAGGAAAAGAGGACTTTGAAGAGGTCGACGTCTCACAGCGTGGTGCTTGCTTGCACGCCGCGTACAGCGTGCGGATGTCCCCGTGCCGCTGGGGGGGGAGAATAGGAGGGAGCGGGAGAGAGGGGGAGCGGAGAGGGTGGGGGGGGGGAAGGGGATGGTAGGAAGAAGGGGGGAGGGGGCAAGGGGAAGGGGGACGCGAAGGCATTGTGATCTTCTGAGTCGACTCAAAAAGCGGATGACGCAGAGAGGAGTTGACGGGTTGAAACGCGGGGAGAAAACGGTAGGGGGGAGGGTGGGAAGACAGAGAGACGAGGCGGGAGGCGGGAATGGCAGGGAAGGGAGCATGTAGATCTTGGTTCTTCCCCTCACGAATCCCTAGGCACTACTGCTGCCCTTGAAAACACGCATAACGACGACCTGGGAAGGCGAAAGAAGGCGAAGGAAAATGGCAGGGAGGCGATCGATTTCCTTCCGCACCTCAAACAGCGCGCGCAGCTCCGCCTCCTCCACGCTGCTGTTGATGTTCCGCACGAACAGCGTCCGCGACGGCCGCTCCCCGCGCGGATGCTCACTCCCCGCGCCCTGCGCTGCGCCCGCGAACGCGGACGTCGCCACCGTCGTCGTCGCCATTATCCCCGCCGCCGCCGCAGCCTTGCCCGCGCCCGCCCCCTGGCGTACCGCGCCTTCCGGAGTCCTGCGAGTTCCAGCAGCACCAAGAGCACCAGCAGTGGCGGAAAAGGCATCGCGCGGAAGGGGCAGGCGGCGGAACCCCCCCTGCGGCGCCATGCCGTCGGCGGGGTCGAGATCTAGCTCCATGCCTCCGCTGCTGCAGAACAGATCGTCCGCCGCGTCGTCCCCCTCCGCGCCATCCCCCTCCCCGCCATCGTCCCCCGCGCCTCCCCCCTCCCCCCTTCCGCTGCCCGCGCTCCCCCCCGCGCGCCTGCCGCTGCTCGCGCGACGGGCTGCGCCGGTCGAATCGGATCTCGAGACAGCAGCAGCGGCGGTGGCGGCGGCGGCGGCGGCGGCGGCGGCGACGGCTTCTGATCGCAGGTGTCGCTCGTACTCCTCTGCGATGTCTGCGAAGAGCTCTTCCTCGTCGTCCGGAAGGATCTGCGACGGGAGTTGATCGCCTAAAGCACGAGGCACGTCGCGATCCAGACCCATTATCAGCGGGCCTTGGATCGCGAGATCCGTACCTTGTTGCTGCTGCATGAATGGACGCATGACAGGATTCCCCGGATGCAGATTCAAATGCTGCTGCTGCTGCTGCTGGGCTATCAGATCATGACCTGGGTGCTGCTGCTGCTGCTGCGGCGGCTGCTGCGGCTGCTGGTGCCTTGCAAGCGACGGCAGCTGAAACGCAGCGTGCGAGTTGAACGAGGAGCCTTCCGCGTAGCTACTCCCATGCACGGCGGAGAGACCTCCCGCGTCCATGTTCTCCCCCATACCTTCACTCCCCAATCCCGCCCGCGTCCCAACGTGACTCAGGCCACTGTGACCGCCAGACGCGGAGCCAAATCCGCCGTTGTACCCGCCGTTGAACCCGCCGTTGAATCCGCCGCTGAATCCGTCGCCAAATCCCACAATCGAGTTACCCTGACTGCCAACACCGCCGACGATCGAGCTGCTGTTGCCCTGCGATGCTGGTAACCCTACCGGACCGTTTCGCGGCCACGAGTGACCTCCGCCGAGATAGTCGCTGGTCAGATCTGTGGGAGAGATCCGCCTATTACCGATAACCCCGGGAGTACCGAACAGGCTCGAGCTCCCATTGCTGCTGCTGCCGCCGCCAAGAAAAGAGGCTCCTGCAGGCAAGGGAAGGCCGGGGAAACCGCCGCTGATACCGCTGCCGCTGCCGCCGCCGCTGCTATTGCTATTGCTGTTGCTGTTGCTGTTGCTGTTGCTGCTGACGGTTGTTGCATCGTCCAGGGAAATGTGATGAGCCGACGGCGATGATCCCGAAACGTCAGTGAACGCAACTGGGGGGAACAGGAGGGTGGAGTCAAGACAACGAGGGCCCAGGAGAAAGAGCATGAGGAAAGGCGGATTTGGATGAGAACAGGTGGAACAGTGGTTCTGGCAGAAACAAATAGCCAACCGGAATCCGGCACTTGTGAGCCATGAGAACTGAAGTCGTGGGGATTCGACACCGTGAAACTACTGGAACAGGACGGATGACGTCTACATGGATTGATAAGTTGATCGTTATGCTGAAAGTCAGGCTGGTTGTTGGGAGTACGGAGTCGACGCCGCGACGAAAGCACTGATTAGTTAACCATCTATATTCTACAAACCACGGGTTAGTTAAACCATTGGATTATCCAAAACACGGGTTCCAACAAAAAGAGGCTGAAGGTGACTTTCGAGAGGACTTATGAGTCGACTAAAAAATCGCCTCGTTGAACATCGTGACCTATCGAGATCGCACAGTCCAGCTAACGAGACCTCAAACGAACGATTAAAAACCACAACGCCTAGCTGATCCAAACCGAATTCGTCAAAAGCACGTTATCGACTGGAGAAGGACAGAACAGCGAGAAAACAAGTGAGACGTTCAAACGTTACGCTCGGATCAGATTTAGATTTAAGCAGCAACCAAACAGACACGGACCAACCGAACGTACGTTTGGACTCGAACAGGGAGGAGAGCGAAGTGGTGTTGAAAATGGTGGTTTCAGGGTCTGAGACGGCCGCAGCGGAGAGCATCGTGGATCCCGGGCCTGGAGTCTCTACCGTATGCCTGTGTCGATGGCTCTGCATTGTTGTCACCGACATCTCATTCCGCTACCCAGAATGCAAGACAGCTATTCCAACAAAACCAGAACCCTACACAACAGCATATGATACACCACAAATCCGCTTCCCGTAACCTATCCACCAGGGCCTATTTTCTGTCTCTAGTGGGTGTATGCGCTACTCAACGCAAAAACCACAGCCACCGATCAGCACGTCGGAGGCAAACCACAGAGACAGAAAGAGGACTTGCCGTCGGCCATGGATAGGTGAACATGATATGCTTGCCTGAACAAGAGCCAGCAGCTGCACTAAAGAACTGATTAAGGAGCTAGGGTTGACGAGGGTTTGGTTGGAGAGGTGCAACGGACTCTCAGGAGGGAAGCGAAGGGAAGGGGTGGTCGTGACTGGTGAGGAGTCGTGACTCGTGGCTCGTGAGTCACGTGAGGCACGGGAACAGGAAGGAGGAAGGATCTGGTTTGGCCAAGGCAAGGCAAGGCCAGGCGGATGACAGCAGGGAACGCGGGGAAGGGAAACGGCGGCGTTTGGGAAGAGAGGGTGGTCTGGGAGAGGTGCAATGCCCGAAAGATTTTGTTTTTTCAGGTAGTGTACAGTTTCTGCAAGGCTCTGTGCTGCTGTAAACTGTAGACGTAGTTCTGCAGAACGAGTTGAAGTTGTGGAATTCTGTAACCCATACGAAAGTTCAGTTTCTAGACAGGTGGAGGAAATCGTGGCCAACAGATTATCAGACACTACACCAGACTTTTTTAGGGCGTGTTACATTTTCGATTTTTTCCAAACGGACCGGACCGTCTGAACGGTTGAAATCGGTTTATTTGTGAAACGCTTTGTTCAAGTAGGTTTCAGTTTGTTTCAGAGTGGTGATGTCCGGACCGTACGGAAAATTCGAAAATGTAACACGCCCTTAATCTGTCTGCACCCTGCCTTCGTCACCTGCCTTCAGTCAACATCTTCGGCACGAAATTTGTGATCGTCGGATTTGCTGCAGGGAGGGAACTTGGCTGGTGGGAGGGGCCAACCAACCAAACGGCGGTTGTGAAATATTTCGGGGGGAAAGGCCCAGTGAAGGAAGAAACATGTATGTGCGATCTGCCTCCGAGACATCTATCGTCGGTTCGCTTGGAAAGAACGACCCTGTAAAAACACAGTGATAGATTTTTCAGGTGTAAGACTCAAATGACGAACGTTTTTCAAGACTATCTAAATCCAACACTCCCTCCCGGCACAGCTGACTGCAGCACCCGTGGGCTTGAATGCGCGGGCCCAAGGCATGCTGCATGGTTCGGAGGTCTGGTGTGAGCCACACACTTTGGAGCAAGTGGTTGAAAGATTGGAGCGCGATTGGTCAAAAGTACTCCTTGTCTCGCTCAAGTTTCAGCTTCGGGCCGACGATTTCCGAAGCTGTTACCACGTGTTTGAGAGGGGTTGGTTAGATTTTAGCTGCCAGTACTGTGGGACATTCCTCTGATTGCTGACGTGTATTTCCCGCCATACAGCAAAATCATACACTCTGGACTTCGCTCCCCACTTGAACAGAGATCTCTGTGATGGTCGTTGAGAGACGTCGCAGAAGTTACAGATACAGTGCAATTAGTCATTCAAGTACCGTACATTTTACATTAACCAGTTGCCGTGCTAATTTTACAACTTCCTCTAATGGACAATCAGTCTTGATGGCTGTGACCTCCACATGCGACCGCGAAACCACGAAACCGCGCTGGAAAGTAAACAAGGACAAACAACATATAAGAAAGCGAAAAAGAACACGCCAGTCCACAGCAGCAGCATGCTTCAGAAGCAAAGACATAGGTTGTGTGGGCCATGCAGAAACATACCTCCTTCAGCAGCCTCATAAGCTCTGAACGTGGAGGCGTGGGTACGCCAGCAAGCTTCGAAACCTGTTCAAATAAAAACACACAGTGAAGACACGCTTGCACACCACTGGGCAAAAGAAGCACACACCATGGACGCACGAACAGCACCATCCATGCAGCACCCACATGATCCAACCCACGGAGGCAGCTTTAAAAACGTCTCGAAAGTCACGCGGCACTCACATGATCCATCTTAAAGAACCACGGAGGCAATCCCTCCTGTGCCTCCTCCTGCATCACCTCCAGCACCCGCCCTGCTGCCTTCCACCCTCTCACCCGCGCATCCTCTGCCACGTGGCGCAATTCCATTGGGTCGTGCAGGGGGCCCACCCACAGCGGCCCCACCACCACCATGCGCTGCCAGAGGGATGGAGTGGTAAAGCAGATGGTAGTGGACGTGGGGGGGAGGATGAAGAGGTTAAGCAGAAGCGAATGGGAGAAGGTAGGATATGGAGAGGGAATACAGAGGTACGGTGGTTATAGGAAAGATAGATAACCGAGTGGGAAAGAGAGAGGACACGAGGTCAGAGTGTGTGGGGCGATCGGCGATGGGGCATGAGGGAATATGAGGAGGGAGGGATGATGCGGGTTGGGTGGAAGGAGGGTAGCCAAGGCAGACGAAGTGCAGATCAGAGGGGGGCTGTGAGTGGACGCACCCGGAGGCCCATTTGACTGAGCATTTGATGATCATCCATGCCACCTGACACTTGCTGCTGCTGCTGCTGCTGCTGCTGCTGCTGGGAGGGAGAAGAGCTTGTTTCCATAGAGGGATTCTCGAAGGAAGGGGGGGATAACGAGGAGAGAGAAGTGGGAGACGTGGAGGCAGCAGCAGCAGCAGCAGAAGCATGCGTTACATGACCCTTTCTCTGCAGGCAGTTGCAGAGAGCACAGCCGAGCGCATCCCATGCCAGCACCTTGGAGTGCCCACAGGAATGGCAATGCGCGATGAATCCATAGTTCCTGCTCGTGGTCGCAAAGAGGGAAGAGGGAGGAGGGAGGATGGATGGAGGAGGGAAAAGGGTTGGAGTTGGAAAATGCAGACCGGCAAAACGCAACGTGCGACACACATGGGTGATGGCATAGGGACAGAGACGCTTACCAAACCCACACAGGCTCTCAGCACTCCCCGTTACCCCTCTCCCCCTTCTCCCCTCTCTCCCCTCCCTTCCCTTCCCTCCTCTCCCATCCCTTCCGCCCTCTCTCCCAGCCTGCACTCACTCGCCCTGCCACTGCTGGTGCGGCGACGCGGGGTGCACGCGCACGAGAGCGCGGAAGACAGGCCCGTGGGGCGCGTAGAGGGAGAACACGGGGGCCACTATCAGCTTGCGCACGGCTGCTTCCCGCACGGCTGCCCCCAGCAGCATGCGCAGCCCCAGCTCGTTGCAGAAGGGCAGAGGCCGCATGTACGTGCCGTATGCTGCCAGCGCGCTGCAGGGGGGTTTGGGTGTATGAGGGGAAGGGAGGGAAGGATGGCGGGGGGTGCGGAGAGGGATGGAACGATTGTTGAGGCGCCCCCAGCAGCATGCGCAGCCCCAGCTCGTTGCAGAAGAGCAAAGGGCGCATGTATATGCCATATGCTGCCAACGCGCTGCAGGGGAGAGTGCACGGTGGGGGGGGGAGGGATGGAGGGTGAAGGATAAGGTGAGGACGAATGTGAGTGCGAGAGTAATGCGTGAACGAGAGGGCAATGTGTGGGAGAGAGAGATAGGACAAAGAGCAAGGGGAGGGGAGAATAGAGGACAGGAATGCAGAGAGTAAGAAGATGAAGCCAATGAACAGAACAGAACCCCATGGCCCAGTGCGACTTTTGAGATGTCTCAAAAAACAGAACCCCATGGCCCAGTGCGGCAATCAGCAAGCAAGAGCACTTGAGAACCGAGCACGGCATTGCAGGCCAAACCCCGGCAGTGCATGGCAAGCCCACGCAGAGCAGGGCAGGGCAAGGCAGGGCAGGGCAGGGCAAGGCAGGGCAAGGCAGGGCGGGGACCGGAAGGGAGTGTGGCCAGCGGAGGAGAAGCCATCGACGGCGGTGAGGAAGAGCAGCCCAGCACACCCCAGCATTGCAGCAGCAAGCAAGGCACACCCAAGCACGCAACAGGCCCACCCCACCCCAGGAGCAAGGCAGCATAACACAGGGCAGGGCAGGGCAGGGCAGGGCAGGGCAGGGGAGGGCAGGGCAGGGCAAGGCAGGGCAGGGACCGGAAGGGAGCGTGGCCGGCGGAGGAGAAGCCGTCAGTGGCGGTGAGGTAGAGCAGCCCTCCCCTGGCCGTGGCTGCCAGGGCTGGCCCGATGAACCGCGTGTCACTGCCAAACGCATCCACGTCCACTAGGTCGAAGAATTGCCGTTGCTGGCAGGGGGGAGGGAGGGGAGGGATGGGGGAAAAGAAGGGGGCGGGAGGGGGAGGAATATGGGGGAAGGCGGGAAGGGTTGACGAAGCGCGTACCGTGTCACTGCCAAACGCATCCACGTCCACTAGGTCGAAGAATTGCCGTTGCTGGTGGGGGGGAGGGAGGGGAGGGATGGGGGAGGAGGGGGGGGGTGGGGAGGAAGAGGGGGGAAAGAAGGGGGAAGATGGGAAGGACTGATGAACCGCGTGTCACTGCCAAAGGTATCCACGTCTACCAGGTCAAAGAATTGCGGCTGCTGGCAGGGGGGGAGGGAGGGGGGAGGAGAGGAGAGGGATGGGGGGGAAAGAGGGGGAAGATGGGAAGGCCTGATGAAGCAAGCGCGTGTGTCAAACGCGGTGGAAAGGCGTGAAACGAGTCCACCACGCGGTGTTTCTGCCCACCATGTCGAAGACTTGTTTTGAGACGTCTGCCTCAAAACGAATCTCAAAACAAATCTTCATACGGTGGAGAGGCATGAAACGCGTCCACGCAGTGTTTCTGCCCACCATGTCATGTCGAAGCAGAACGCCCGTCGGAGGAGAACGGGGTGGAGATAGAGGGAAGGAGGGGAGGTGGAACGGGGTGTGCTGCTGCAAAAATGGTTCTGAAAAAGGGAGAGGGAAAGGGGACGGCTAGGGGAGCGGGGAGGGGAGCGGGGAGGGGAGTGGGGAGGGGAGCGGGAAAGGGAGCGAGGAGGGGAGCCGGTAAGGGAGTGCGGCGCAGAGAGGCTGAGGGCGCGCGCGGACCTCGTAGCAGCGGTGGAGCACGCGGAGCCCGTCCTCGTGCGTCACCCGCCACCTGCTCGTCTCCCTCCCCGACTTGCCCTCGCGCGCCTTCCGCCACCGCCGGTCGCCCTCGTCCTCCTCCGCCTCTTCCTCCCCCTCCACGTCTCCTTCCGCAACCCCCTCTGCCTCCTTCTTCCCGGGGCGAGCGTCGACGGATGTAGCAGCATCCACGTCAGCAGCGGGGCCAGCGGCGTCATCAGCGGTGGCGCCAGAGACGGCTTGCAGGTTGGCGACGAGCGCGGCGTGGGTGTCGACGGACGCGTCGTTGCACCACACGAACGACGCGCCGCCCTGCGACAAATACCGCGCTCCGCGCACGCCGCTCCCGCTCAGCACGTCCAAAACCCTAAACCCCCGCCGCCGCCGCCGTCGCCGCTGCTGCTCCTTCATCCCCCGCCCTGCACCTTCCGCCTCTGCGCCTCTCCGACCGCTCCTTTCCCTTTCCGCGCTTCTCTCAATTCCTGCGACCGCCTCCTCCACCGCACCCTCTTCCGCTTGGCCTTCCGCGTGCTGCTGCTCTTCCGCCGCGCTCCGCGTGCGCGCATCCCGCCACGCGACGAGAGTGGCCAAGTCGCGCCCGACGGCGCTCTCGCGGCGGTAGAACGACCCCTGCACCTGCAGACGCAACCCGCGCTCCTCCACCCACTGCACGCCTGATTCCCCCTTCCCATCCCCCTCCCCCTCCGCATCCCCCGCCCCCTCCGCATCCCCCGCCCCCTGCTGCTGCGCGCCCGCGCTTTCTACTACCTCGTCGCCGCTCTGCGCATCGCTGCGCCGTGTGGAGCAAACCACGCGCGGATACGAACTTTGATCGTCTCCCCGTCTTCCGCGCCGACCGTGCCGCTGCCGCCGGGGAATCGCAACGGTTGAACCCAGAATCTCGGGGCGCCAATTCGGAGCGATGCGATACAGCGAGCCCGTAAGAGAAGCGCGGTGACGAGGTAAAAGCGCGCGAGCGGACAGGGGCGCAAAAGGAGTGGGGTTTGGGGCAATCAGAATGGTGCGCTCCCAAGCTGCTGCTGCGGACATGGTGGATCCCTGTGCTAGGTGAAAGTTGTAACTGAACACATTTAAAAAAATAAATCGTGCTCGCATTTTCTCGGATTGCGATGGTCGCGATAATCGCGCGGTGCAGTGGCGAGAGTGACTCGATACAAGGAGCGCCCAGATGTGAGCATTGCATCTGCATATTTTGTTTGCGTGAGGTGTAGCAAAGTTTGGGGGAACTTCAGAAAGCCATGTTTTCTGGAACGTTTGTGCTTGAAAACAAGCGCATGGGGGAATTAATATAGAGTATACTTCAATAACAGTAATAAAAGTGGAATTATATGCATAGTGTAAGGTCACACATTCATTCCCATGTAATCGTGAGCACTGGGCACTAGTTGACTTTTGAGTCGACTTATAAGTCAACTTCAAGGTAACACCTTCAGTCCCATCCAGGGCTATTTTCTGGATTTTCACTACTCGGGTTTCCAGAGCTGTTTTCTAGAGAACTCTGAAATTCAGGGTTCATTGTAAGGATTTACAAATCCTTACCGAGGCACTCGTTAGCGAGGCCATCCCGAGGGTCACGCGACGAACCTGGCCTTCCTATTTCGTCGCACCGAGCCACTCCCGAGTCGGCCTCCGCTCCAATCGCAACCATCACCGAGCCATCCCATCCCGAACCCCCGCCTAGCTAGATTTTCCCCTATTTAGGCCTCGTTACTTCATTGTGGATTCAGTGAATTCAGTACTCAGTTCATTCTCGATATTCGTTTTACTGCGCACTCTGCAAGTTCATTCATAACACCTGGTATCAGAGCTACTTTCCTAGCCTACCCCGCTTTTAGAGTGTAATACCCTGTGAAAGGAATGAACAGGAATGAATTGACTAAGTCAGAGTTGGGTACAAATACAACCCTAGTAAACTGTACCCCATATGTGCTACCCCACTATAGCCTACAAACATGCATCAGCTATAATAATCTGACACACCCCCATAGGCAAAGTGGGGGAGAACAAGGGGTCACAAGACCAGTCAAGCAAAGCAAAGCAAAGCAAGCTCAGGGTGGATCACAAAGTCACCACACAGTCCGAGCACAAGAGCAAGGCCAGAGGCCAGTTCACATGCAGGAGTACAGACATATATATAAAACTAGACAAGCAAGAGCAGGTATATATATGTCAAAGTACAAGTAAAGTCAAGAAGAGAGCAAGTGAGGCAAGACAGGTACAAGACCCAGCTGGGTACAAAAGCGCTGATGGTCGCAAGGCGCAAGTGCCTTGGTGAACACATCAGCAGTGTTGGCCTCAGAGGCCACGTAAGCAAGTCGCAACTGACCACGCTGCTGCAGCTCACGAGCAAGGAAGTAGCGGAGAGCAATGTGCTTCGTTCTGTGCTCCAAGCGCTGCTCTCGACACAAGGCCAACATGGCCTTGTTGTCTACGTACAGCACTGGAGGAGAACGAGGCAGCTCTCCAAGGTCAGTCAGCAGGTAGGTGAGCCAGCGAAGCTCCTGTGCAGCCATGGCCCCGGCGTAGATCTCAGCCTCACAACTGGAGCCGAGAACCGAAGACGAGCGAGTAGACCGCCACGAGACAGAGCCGGAACCAAGGCTGAAGGTGTAACCCTGTGACGACCGCTGCGTAGCCTGGTCGTCAGCCCAAGAAGCGTCTGCGTGCCCAGTAAGGACCACTGGACTCCGCCCTCCAAGCACTAGCCCCATGCCCGACGTACTGCACAGGTAGCGCAATACCCTCTTCGCTGCAGCCATGTGCTCTGGTCGGTGTCTCCCAGGAGCAACATAGCGTGCAAGGATGCTCAGAGGGTATGCAAGGTCAGGTCGTGTGCATGTCATCAGGTACATGAGGCAGCCAACAAGCTCTGCATACGGACCACTCGACTCTACGGACTCATCCGAAGGCAGAGCTGAGAGTGAGTGGCGAGTAGGCAGAGGAGTGGCCTGAGGCGAGGAGTACGTGAAGCCGAAGCGCTGAAGGACCTGCTGCACCATGTGTGACTGAGTCAGGGTAATGGTGCGGCGTGCTCTGTCCCGAGTGATCTGCAAGCCAAGGTAGCTGCGCAGTTCACCCAGGTCTGTGCACGTGTGTCTCTTCAGCAGCTCGGACTTCACGTAGGCGAGTCCAGCAGTGTCCGCTGTGGCAAAGACCAAGTCGTCAACGTACACGAGGATGTAGAACGGCGGCAGGGAAGTGTCGGTGCGAAGAAACAGCGACGGGTCAGCAGTAGAAGGAGCAAACCCAAGAGCCGCAAGCGTAGTCCTCAGTGTGTCGTGCCACTCACGCGGTGCCTGGCGGAGACCGTAGACTGGCCGTCGAAGGCTCCACTGGGTGCCAGGAGGGAAAGTCCCAGTGAAGCCAGGCGGACGGCGCAGCCAGATCTCCTCGTGCAGGCTACCCTGCAGGAACGCAGTGCTGAAGTCGAGAGAGTGAAGCTCGTAGTCGCGCTGAGCGGCAATGTGCAGCAGCATCCGAAGAGTGGTCATCTTCGGGGTGGGAGAGAAGGTCTGAAAGTAGTCAACTCCCTGCCGCTGACTGAAGCCACGAGCCACGTAGCGCGCCTTGAAGACAGGCGGCGAGCCCGGCGGCCGCTTCACCCTGAAGATCCACATGCCCCTGACGATGTTCGCCCCAGGAGGGGGAACCGCGTCAACGTAGGTGCCTGTGGACTTCCAGGAAGCCATCTCTGCATCCATAGCTGCCTGCCACTGAGAGGAGTAGGGACCCTCTACGGCCTCCGCGTAAGAACGCGGAGTCGGGATGTCTAGTGCATCCGGGTCTCCCTCAGGGGCTAGCAGTACAGACGCGAGACGAGGTGAAGCAGCGGCTAGACACTGGAACTCCTCCTGCCTGTCCTCTAGGACGTCCGTGCCAAGGGCACACTCACCCCCGATGGACGGAGGACAGGCGGACTCTGACTCAGCGACAAGACGAGCAGCGTAGTCTAGACGGCAGCGCGCAGCAAAGTCGACAAGCTCAGTGACAAGGGCAGACGCAGCACACGACTCGAAGGAAGGGTCAGTGACAGCAGTAGCAAGGAGACGTGTGACAGTAGGACTGGCAGCACGAAGAGAGTCCGACTCCGGGTCGGCAAGAGCAGGAAGAGAGGAAGCAGGAGGAGAAGGCAAAGGGGCACGCAGAGGAGCAGTGGACGGACGCAGTGACATCCGGTGCGTGCCAGGGACAGGAGGAGGACGCTGACGCGACCCGCGACCACTAGCGCGCTCAGTACGAACAGGCGACGCAGGACGAGACGCAGGCTCACGACGCTCAGTAAGGCCTCCAGTCGGACCAGCGTAGGGAGAAGGAGCAGGCAAAGGGGAGGCAGGCTCTAGCTGTGGCTGTGACCGGACAGGCTGCGGACCCTCTAAGGGAGGAGGAGGAGGAGCAAGACCAAGAACCTGCTCCAGGAGCGGAACGAAGTACGGTCGAGACCGCGCGGCGACGCCAGAAACAGCAGGAACAGAACCAGTAGCTCCGGCCGGAGCACCCACTCCAGCAGCACCTCCATCAGAACCACCAGAAGCTCCAGAACCTCCAGCAGCAGCACCAGGAGCACCGTCAGTCGGACCACCAACCGCAGGCTCAGCGCCAACGTCCTCAGCAGGACCAGCTCCAGGAGAACCCTCAGACCCAGCAGCTCCAGCACCCACAGGACGAGCACCGCCAGGTCGCGTGGCAGCAGCGCCCTCCGCAGCCGAAGAACCACCAGCACCAGCGGCACGCCTCCAGCGCCGGGCAAACCACTCACGCAGCTCCTGTGGAGAGAGCGGCTCCCGGCGAGACGAAGCACCCCCAGGCACAGCACCTCCAGGCTCGGCACCTCCAGGCTCAGCACCTCCAGGCTCAGCACCCCCAGGCTCAGTACCCCCAGACACAGCACCCCCAGGCTCAGCACCTCCAGGCTCAGCACCCCTAGACTCCGCACCCCCAGGCTCAGCTCCCGCAGCAGCACCAGAGTCACCAGTGACCTCGACAGGCTCGACCGCGTCTACCTGAGACACACCTGAAGGGGCAGGACCCTGAGGGGGGAGGGGGACTACCGGGGGGGGACCTGGTACCAAGAAGAGCGGGGGTGGGGGGAGGGACGGAGTGCGGTAGGGGAAGAGGCGGTAGTAGGGTACCGACTCGTCGAACGTGACGTCCTGGGAGGACAGAACACGTCGAGAGGTGGGGTGGTAAAACTGCCACCCAGGGGCGTCGGGGGGGAACCCGAGGAAGACGCAGGGAGAAGCACGAGGGGACAGCTTGTCCGCAGACAGGTCGCGAACAAACGCCCGAGATCCCCAGACCCGGAACGCCGACGCATCGCCAACCTTCCCCGTCCACAACAGAGCTGGGGAGGTCTCCGGTCGAGAGACCCTGGGGTGGAGGTTGATCTGGTGCGCAGCGTACCTGACCGCAAACGGCCACAGAAAATGGGGAGCAGCCGCATGCATCATGGACGTACGAGCGACGTCCATGACCATGCCAATGCGGCGCTCAGCGATCCCATTCTGCTGTGGTGAGTTCGGAAGCGTGAAGGTCTGACGGATGCCTCGCACACGACAGTAGGCACTCAGGAGGGCAAAGGAGAACTCTCCGCCTCTGTCCGAGTGCAGACGCAAAACAGGGAAGTCAGAGCCAAAGCTTCTCCGAAGCTGAAGACGAGCTGCGCGGATCCAGTCGATCAACACCTGAGTGACCTCACCCTTGCTGCGCAAGGGGAAGACTGTGGTGTAACGCGAGTAGTCGTCAACCACCAGCAGGAAGTAGTGCTCCTGACCCTGTCCACGGACGCGGGCTGGGCCCCACACGTCCATGTGAAGCGTCTGCAACGGGGCCTCTGTCGGAGGAAACTGGGAGGAGTGAGGGGCAGCACGCTGGCGCCCCTCGACACAGGGGACACAGGCAGGGCCAGGGCCCGGAGGAAGGGGAGGGAGGGACCGGGGAAGACCAGACACAAGGACCCGCGAGGCCATGCCTCTGAGCCGAAGCAGAGAGGGGTGGCCAAGGCGGTGGTGCCAGAGGAGGGTCTCGTGAGACAGACGACGACACGAACAAGGGGCAGACTCAGGACCAGACCTGGACGCTTCAGCAAACACCTGACC